TGAGGCGGTCGTAAGTCCACGTAGTCGTAAGTCGGGGTCTAGGTGTATGTATATATATATATATATATATATATATATATATATATATATATATATATATATATATATATATATATATATATATATATATATATATATATATATATATATATATACAGTTGTACCCCACTTAACGCGGTCAATAGAACCCAGAGGGTCCCGTGTTAAGTGAAATCCGCGTTAAGTGAACAACAGAACATATGGGATTAATTCCAATAGAAACCGGCCCGACCCCCAAACTCCACTTTTTGAAGGCACATACCTATGTTGTAGTAAAAATAACATCTTAATTTTATGATGGTACATGCACACAATTAATACTTAAGAGAAATAGAGAAATACAGTCGCCAAGTTAATGTCCATTCAAATAATGGACTCAACTCCCTCCCCCTCTCACACTACACTGCCGGCTCTTCCCTCTCAGAGAAATTTTTGGGGGAAAACCACTAAATTTTAATAAATAATACCTCAAACTAAAGTTAGGATAATACAATTGACATTGCTGGATTCCTTGTAAGACCAGGAATATTTTGAATATAAATGTCATATATTTTGCACAAAAGATAACATAGTTACCTAGAAAATTTTGTATCTAAAATTTGTATGTATGTAATGCAAAATATATGATGTTTATATTCAAAATGATCACCAAATTATAAGAATTCCAGCAATGTAAATTATATTCTGACCGGGTAATTTGTATGAATTTTATGAGCTAAAACAAATATCTTCAGTTAATAAAAAAAAAATAATCTTCACGACACTATCTGTCAATCAAAGTACCCCACCTTGCCTCCCCCCCTCTTCCAACCGCGCGGTCAGTCCCAACCCTCCCCCCCACCCCCCACCAATCCTCCCTTCCAGAGTTTTTAACATTTAGTATTAAATAATACCTCAGATTAAAGTTAGGATAATATAATTGACATTGCTGGATTCCTTGTAAGACCAGGAATATTTTGAATATAAATGTCATATATTTTGCACAAAAGATAACATAGTTAATTTGAGAAAATTTTTTATCTAAAATTTGTATGTCTAATGCAAAATATATGATGTTTATATTCAAAATGATCATCAAATTATAAGAATTCCAGCAATGTAAATTATATTCAGACCGGGTAATTTGTATGAATTTTATGAGCTAAAACAAATATCTTCAGTTAATAAAAAAAAAAATAATTCTTCACCGGGTAACAGATGGTCGGTCGGTCCCTCCCTCCCCCCCACCAACCGTCCCAAGGAGATGTGTGGGATAACCACTAAATTTTAATAAATAATACCTCAAACTTAAGTTAAGATAATATAATTGACATTGCTGGATTCCTTGTAAGACCAGGAATATTTTGAATATAGATGTCATATATTTTGCACAAAAGATAACATAGTTACTCTGAGAAAAATTTGTATCTAAAATTTTTATGTCTAATGCAAAATATATGATGTTTATATTCAAAATGATCACCAAATTATAAGAATTCCAGCAATGTAAATTATATTCTGGCCGGGTAATTTGTATGAATTTTATGAGCTAAAACAGGCAGTCAGGGGTGGGTGGGGCAAATCTAAAAATAGCGTCTCGAGCCGACACTCACCGCGTATATGTGGAAAAGTGTTAAGTGAAAGTTCAGCTCTGGCAGGCACCGCGTATATGATAAAACGCGTTAAGTGAAACCGGGTAATAGTGTGTGTGTGTGTGTGTGTGTGTGTGTGTGTGTATATATATATATATATATATATATATATATATATATATATATATATATATATATATATATATATATATATATATATATATATATATATATATATATATATATATATATATATATATATATATAAACTTTTTCTGAACTTCTATTTAGTTTGTACTCACCCCTGAAGATGTGAATTACACGAAAGCGCTTGGGGAACTTCGTGTTTTCTTTTTCCTTGTGGTTATCAGCATATACCTGGATCACGCGCACCTACAGTGATTTATTTGCACATATATATATATATATATATATATATATATATATATATATATATATATATATATATATATATATATATATATATATATATATATATATATATATATATATATATATATATATATAATGTATGTGTGCAAATAAATCACTACTGCAATGTGATACAGGTGATTAATTTTTATCTCTTATGCAAAATATATGACGTTTATATTCAAATTATTCGCTGTCTTGCAAGGATTCCAGCAATGCAAATTATATTCTCCTAACTTTAGTCTGAGATATTATATAAGATAAAAACTGTAAGCCTAAAACCCTGGCTGGGCAGATGGGGAGAGGGAGGGAGGGAGCTTGTGGGGGGGGGGAGCGGGCGGTGAGGTGATACGTTTGACAGGGCCAATTGCAAGAACGGTTATGTTGGTGTACGGCGCCATTTACGATGACCTTCTTGCCCTGGTCTTTTTTTCAGCAATATCGCCTTTAGCTCATGGAATTCTGCACTTTTCGAAGCTTTGGAGGAGTCTCGAAACAAGTTTCCTGGTGGGAATTATTAGCTAGTGCTGTACTCAAAATATCGAGACTTCGAGATCTCTCCAGAACTTCAAAAGGGTGGTATTCCTGAAACAAGATCAGGGCAAGAAGGTCATTGTGAATGGCGTCGTACACCCCACGACTGTTCTTGCAATTGACCCTTAGCACCAAAGGTCTAGTGAAGTATTTATTTGTTTATGTCGTTTTGATGAGTTTTGGTTTATTGCTTATAAAATTTCATAGAAGTGACCGGGGAGAATATAATTTACATTGCTGGATTTCTTATAAGATAGTGATTAATTTGAATATAAACAAGCTATAATTTGCACTAGACATAACAATTTTAGTACCATACTCAATTTATTACATGTACATTCCAGGTTTGCACTAAGGTCATTAATTTCGTTTACGTTTCTTTTAGTATGGTGTGTACATGTAAATGGATGAAAATAAATGAAGAAATTTATGTAAATCTACCCAAAAATACAGTTGAAAAACTTTACATTATAAAATGTACTACCTACTGTACACTAATGTACGTACTAAAATTTTTATCTCGTGCAAAATATATGACGTTTATATTCAAATTATTCACTGTCTTGCAAGGATTCCAGCAATGCAAATTATATTCTCCTAACTATAGTCTGTGATATTATATAAGATAAAAACTTAAAGCCTACTGTATAACCACCAAACCTTTGCTGGGAGGGGGTGACAGTAACATGTTTGACAGTTACCGTAGCTCTGATGGTCTAGTGAAGTATTTATTTGTTTATTTATGTTGTTTAGTTTGAGTTCTTGTTTTTTGCTTATAAAATTTCATAGGAGTGACCAGAGAGAATATAATTTACATTGCTGGAATTCTTATAATACAGTATAGTGATTAATTTGAATGTAAACATGCAATAGTTTGCACTAGACTAAAATTTTAGTACTGTATTCATTTTGCACAAATATTAAAGAGCACAATTTTCTTGATATTTACTCCACTGGAAACGAATGTAACATAGAACAGATTACTGAATTTGCAGACTAGCCCATCAGCTGATGCTCACAACAAAACGTCATGTTCGTAAGGATTTCGTTAATCGAATTTTTGTTCATTAACCGAATTGAAGATTCTTATGGAAGGTAATTTGTTAACCGAAATTTCATTAACCGAAGTATTCGTTAACCGAGGGACTACTGTAATACTATATAATCAAGACAAAAATTAATAAAAAATAAGCAAAGTGAGAGGAACGATATACATTACGTTTGTTGTGTTGTCAATAGGAAGAGAAACAGTTGAGACCCTGCAATTGTGTGTAAATTAGGCAGAAAGTCAGATCAGCAACCTGGGACTTGGTCAAAATTTTTGTGATGCCATATGGCAGCAAGGTCCACCATTAGACAACACATAATGCTCCTGATGGTCCCAGTCAGTAAGTGTTGCTGTAATTCTGTATTGATAAATCTAATTGTAATTTCAAATATTGAAATTAATCAGTATAAAGGTTGGGCTCAAAGACCGAAAACTACCACAACGCGTTGTGAATGTTTTCAAAAGAACCAGAAAACAAAATTTTGCGTTTTGGGTTTTACCCAATAGATACAACCTAACGTAACCTAGCCTAACCTAACCTAAAACCCTAACCTAACATAGCCTAGCCTAACCTAACCAAACCTAATCAAACTCAACCCAAATAAACATAACCTAACCTGTAGCAAAATTTTGCTTTCTGGTTATTTTGTGGTTAGTTTTCAGTCTTTGAGCCACACACACACACACACACACACAGAGTATAACCCCGCTTTACACGGTCAATTGAACCCACGGAGGCCCGCGTATAATGGGAAACGCGTAAATGGAACAATAGAACATAGGGGTTTATCCGGTAATTGAAATAGAGACTGGGCCGACCCCCAAACTCCACTTTTTCAGACACAATACCTACACTGTAGTAAAAATAACTTCTTAATTTTATGATGGTATGCACACAATTATTAATTAAGAGAAATATCAATAATATTAGGTTTTTTAACATTTACATTAGTAGAAAAGATGGCTGGGCACACGGGGATGGGGGGGTTGATTCCGAGGCAGAAGGCAGATTATTGGCCCTCACCTGTAACACTTGTATCAGTTGTATCACTATCCACCACAGAGGCTTGCAGGGCCTCTTTGTCAAACCCCTCAAAGTCCATATAAGTCCATATCCTCACTATCATTATCACTATCACTGACTTGGGCCGGCTGAGGTGGGTGGCGGGTGAAGAACTCGGTAATGTTTTGATGACTGGGCGACCTTGTGCGCACCCTGCCCGCGCCTCTTCCCGCGTATATGAGTAGATGCACCGCGTAAAGTGGGAATTCCGGTTCTGGCGGGGTACCGCGTAAATGTGGAAACGTGTTAACGAGAACCGCGTTAAGTGGGATATTACTGTACGTATATATTAATTTTTTTTTTCACCATGCAGAGAGGAGGCAAAGGAGATGTTTTATCATGCATACACCGCTTACATGGTGAGTATTAGGGAATTTATGTTCATTAGCCATAGTAAATAAGTTGATGGTGAAATTCTTCTGAAAAGTGGTTTTTAGTGCCTGAATGTTTTCACTTTTATCATCAGTTTATGCTTTTCATAACCTTCTACCAAAGCAAGCCTTTCTTGTTAATGGAACTGTTTTTATGGAAGTACAGTGTACAGTGGGGTATGCTATAACGAACGGATCCTACTACGAATATTCCTATAACGAACGGTTTTACCTATAAAATTGATAATGCTATAACGAACATAACTCCTACAACGAACACTATAATTTTTTTTTTTTTTTTTACTAATTTATTGTTTCTGTATTACAAGTACTAATGATATTCTTTATTTCAAGGGTTTAGATGCATATTTATGCACTTTTTTCCACTTTTTACAATTTAATATTATATTTTTCAGTGTTAAGTGGTTGTATTTGGGGGCCTGGAACGGATTAATCCTATAACGAACGAATGCTATAACGAACAAGGTTCTAGAACCAATTAGATTCGTTATAGCATACCCCACTGTATTTGTCAAGGATTGCACTTGATGTGTCTTGTGTGATATTTTGTTGTACAGTATATTACTGCTTAGCAGTTCTGGTTGAAGACTATAATCACTGAAATATAATATATTGTTAAATATTGTGAATACAGTACTTCAACATAGTTTGTAGTACAATATAAAGTATTATTGAATTTTGAAGTGTTGTTGTTAGTCCTTTGCTGCAGATGTATTTCTTAAAGCAATTCATGTTTTTGTGCAGGACAATGCATACCCAGCAGATGAACTGATGCCCCTCAGTTGTAAACCAAGATGGAGAGAAGTGGAACAATCTAGGGGGGATATCGATGAGACTTTAGGCAAGTAAGTACAATATATACCAAGGAATGAATGACCTTTTATCACACAATTATGTGTTTATGAATTTGAATGATATTCATGTTATACAGTATATGTCATTACATGTGTATGAAATTAAATGGTATTCATGTTTGTCCTTACGTGTCACTTATTTTCAGTTTTTCATTAACGTTGGTGGATGCATTGGATACATTAGTTGTGATGGGGGACATTGAAGAGTTTGATCGAGCCCTCCGTTTGGTAGTTAGAGATGTATCCTTTGATAACGACGTAGTGGTATCAGTCTTCGAGACGAATATTCGTATGGTTGGTGGATTGATATCTGGTCATGTGATGGCTGAACATCTAAATCAGGTTGGTACATGGTAAAAGCTGAAACTTTCTTGGGTACTGTATTATAATAAATTAAATGTTTAACTCGTAATGTATGAATTATAAATGTTTTTTGTACAAGCTGCTTTGATTTTTAGTATTTTTCCATTCTGTAATAAATTTATAATGGGTAAGCATTATCTTTCTGAATCTCTGGTACTATATTTTTATGTTTGAGCTTTGAAAACCTGGTACTTGTATAATGAAGGTCCATATATAGTGCTGGCTTTTACTGATACTAGTACAGTGACCTCGTGAGTTTCATGCAGCCCAAGTTCCGCGATTCATGCGGAACCCGAACTTCCCCACTTCTCGACATCCGTGCATCTTCCTCCCAAATTTGATGCTCCCTGTACTAATAAAAAGTGTTTTGTACCATCTACCTATGAGTTTTGTGTCTGAAACTTGCTTAAAATATTAGGTAAATATTATTGTGTGATGCATTACCTGGTAAACTGTTTTTTGTTATATGATATATAGTTTGGTAACACAGGACAGTAGTAAACACTAAACATTGTATATAATACATAAGAAATACAGTAACACACAGATATTGTAAAAAAAAATTTTCTTTATAATATAAACAGCTCCTTCCCTGGTTGGCTGGCTGGTCAGCTGTTCGTTTATGTAAACATATCACCAGGAACTTAGTAAAACACAATAACTTATCTGGGTTGGGTGTGGGGTTTTTTGTGTGACAGTTTGTTATTTACTATAATGTTTTATTAACCTGGAAAAATTCCAAGGGTAGGCAATTTTTTCCGGGGACAAGAAAATTCATCTCCATACCTGGAAATCTCTCAATCCCGGTAACGCTCTGCACCAATTATTCCGGCTAACGTGATAAAGTAGTTTCGCTTGGGGTCCCCAGAATAAACCAGTCGTGAAACTCGCGAAGCCACTGTGTACTCGTATGTAATACTGTACTGCAGAGAGTATTTTCAGTAATATACAGTTTATTGTTTGTCCAGCTGTATGGAGCATTAGGATGGTATAGAGGAGAACTGCTGACAATGGCAAGAGATCTGGCCACCAGACTTCTACCAGCATTCAACACTACAACAGGGATTCCACATGCCAAGGTAATTGAGTTATAATTATTTTATGATCATGCAGAGTACAGTATTTGGTGGTTTCATGGGAGGATAACAGGTTTTTATATACAATAAAACCTCACTGAGGCAGACCCCTCTTAAGCAGGAAAAAATTACCCCACCCCAAAGGAATATACAGTGATTTGTTTCAGGTTACATGCTGTAGCATATATATTTTTGCATTATTATTGAAAAATTTGACAATAACCATGGCCCCTAAGAAAGTGTTTGGTGTCTGTAAGGGTGGTGGGAAGGTTAAGCCTAAAACCTTACCAGTGAACGAATATGTAATTTCAAAGCACTCAGACTCAGAGTGACTGCAAGCCTCTTGCAGTCAGAGGCATGTCCAGCTGGATCTGCCCTCCATTTTGGGGGTAAGTGTACAGTTCTTTGTGTATATTATTATTTTTTATTAATTTTGATTAAAAAGCATGTATTTCATTCATAAAAATTACATAAATTGGTGTTGTACTTGTTTTTTTGTTTATACATTGGTCTTTTTTTTTTAATTTGCTGTAAGGAGGACAACCTCTTATCCCGGACCCCCCCCCTCCCCCAATTAGTCTGCCTTTTAGTCTGCCTTAGAGAGGTTTTACTGTAGTAGGAAATAAAGGTTTTCAGAAAATTAAAAAAGGAATAAGGGGAGGGGAAAGGAATAATAGGAACAATAGAAGATACTGAAGGGAGATTAGAAAGAGAACCAGGAGGGATAATATTAGGACCCATTGGGGAACTAAATGCGAGTATTGTTCAAAAACATTTGTTCTTCCATTTTTACTTAAGTTTTAATTAGTTTTTGCTGTTTAACTGCATGTTTTAGGGCAGGGGTTCTCAACCAGGGGGGAATTCCCCCCAGGGGGGGGAATTCCGGTTTTCAGGGGGGGGGGAACTGATTCGGGAGCAAGAGATATGTTCGATGAGAAATCAATCACAGAATTTTGGCCCTTGATGTGCGATTCCTACCCAAAAGTGGCAGAAAGAGCTATCCGTGCATTGCTTCCGTTTGTGTCGACATATCTTTGTGAGTCAGGCTTTTAAACTCTGTTGCAAATTAAAACGAAGCAACGTAGTAGATTAGAGGTAGAAAATGACCTGCATTGTGCCCTTTCAAGCACTCCTCCGCGTATCCCAGAATTGGCGAAGAAAAAACAATCACAGGTTTCTCATTGACTGTAATCTTCATCTGAATAAAATTAATTATAAATTTACAATATCCTGGTATTCTATTGAACTTTTTGTTTATTGCATTATGCTTCAGTTTGGTCTGTTAAGTAATTCATTATAAAAAAAAAAAAACTATTTTACTTTTATTCAAGTTTTATAAATCCATCAACATTTTCAATTGGCATTTAATTTGTAAAACTCCACTATAAAAATAATCCATGTAAAATTGTAAATGTATATGTACTAATATGGAAAAAATAAAGGATTTTCAGTATTATATGCATATTATTTGGAATGCACTTTTTGAGGCAGACAATCTTGGAAAGGAGGGGGGGGAATGACATTCTGACATTTGGTGAAAGGGATGCATGGGGTAAACAAGGTTGAGAACCACTGTTTTAGGGAGTAGTGTACATCTTACCATTATATATGTTCATTAAATGTTGGGGAAAAGGCTATACTGTACTGGGGCTGTGTTGCATCTAGGAGGAAATTTTCCAGTACAGCTGCAACATTTAGAAAATTATATAATTTTGGACTGTCTTTTCCTCTTGTTAGTTCAAATTATTGATGTTCTCCTGTATTATCATAACTGCCTTTCTTTCAGGTTAACTTGAAATATGGGATGAAGTCCCCAAAACTGCAGAGCTCACGAGATACTTGCACTGCATGTGCAGGAACAATTATATTAGAGTTTGCAGCCCTCTCACGATTAACAGGTGATTCCATCTTTGAGGAGAAAGCTCGCCAGGCTATGGATTGTCTGTGGAGCCAGAGACACCGGGGAAGTGACCTTGTAGGAACCGTACTAAATGTGCATTCAGGTATGGTTTCTGGTGGAGAGACAACTTTATAAGCATGGTAATTATAACAGAGGGAAATTCTATTCATTATTTCTTGTTGCCATAACCAGTCTAAGGTGATGTTATGATTAGTTAATATGTGCTTTGCTTATTTCATTAATTTAAGTAGTTTCTGTTACATTATGTATGAAGTAGAACAACAGAATGTGAATATGAAATTTTGCTCACACAGTATACATTTAAATATTTGAATGATGACTTTTCTGAGGAATGAAAGAGCACAAACATTTAGAAAGAAGTGCAGTCACCCTGTCACCTATACCAAACATTTGGTTTACCTAATTACAGGTTGCCCTGGTTTTCACTGGTTTCATAAGGACCAGATTTGCACATATATGGTTTAATATTTTCTCACCAAATTTCAGTTAAGACGGGCTAAGTTTACACATGCTTGGATGCACATCACACTTTTCATCTTTCCAACTTGTAATGCATCACGTGTGCCAGAATGCACCTGGAGGCTATCATGCGTATACATTTATTATAATTGCTGACTTGATTTCACCTTTTTGCCTTTAGTAATTACTCCCAACAGCACAGCCTTCAAGCCTAAGATGATATGAACACTAGAAACTAGTTGAAAATATTGAAAAGTCTTAAACTGCAGTTCTTGGCTTATGGGAATTATATTTATGCTCTTAAGATGAACCAGGACACTAACATGGAGAACTAATCACATTCATTGCCAGCAATATTATTTTAGTTAATTTATTAATTCCTGGAGGTGGTGAACATAACTTAAGACTATGATTCTGGGCACAGCAATCGACTTTATGACAAAAAGATCTTTGTACTATGTGTGTGTAATTTTCTTCTCTTTATTGACTAATTTACAGTGACCCCTCCGTTAACGAACTCAATCCGTTCCAGAAGGTCGTTCGTTAACCGAAAAGTTCGTGAACCGAAACCATTGTTTCAGTGGGTTTTTGGGTAATTGGTTCCAGCTCACCGAAAATTTCCTAAATTCAACAAAAATGGTAGAAATGTTCACTTACTTTGAGGTGTGTATGTAGAAGGCTCCTGGATAATGATGATGATGATGGGGGGATTTAGAATGGGGGTGGAGGAGAAGGAAGAAGAGAAGGCATTGGGGTGGAAGAGAAGTCACCCCATGGCGCCATTTCACCCATAAAATTTTTGCTCTCTTGGTGTAATTCGAGATTATTTTCTTTAAATCAACACTGCACTGCATTATATATTGTCAATATGTAAAATACATTTCAAAATGACCAATAATTTGCTTGGAAACACAGAAAAAAAGTGTTTAGTTGAAGAGAGTCTCAAGCAAGATGTTACCTCCAGTGAAAACAGAGAGAGACTAACTCCTGTTTGCTGTGTTAAGAGGCTGGATGCCGCGCATTAAACTAGTCACTTTACCTTCAATTATGTTCAATAATTGTTAAAATGACTAAAATATTGAATATTAAACTTTTAAAATTATTGAATAGTATAAACTTCTTGATATTTACTAAAATAGTAAGGAATTTAAGCCCTAGAACTGATTAATGTATTGGCTGACTGATACTAAAGCTGGTTGCCCGGTCAGTGCAAGCGAAAACATGTTGAGGTCGGTTCGTAAGAACTTCGTTAACCGAATTGAAGATCCTTATGGAAGGCAGTTCGTTAATCGAAATTACGTTAACCGAGGTGTTCGTTAAACGAGGGGTCACTGTATTTTTTGTTTGTTATATACCTGTACAGTACAGTCATCCCTTGGTTATCGCGATTTTCGTTATCACGCCTCCATCAAAATCTGCACACCTGCCGTTATAGCGCATTTTTCAGGTTGAGAATTTGGTTATCACGCATTTGCCTCCAGGTGTAATGTTAACCTACATCTATTGAGGATAAAAATTTTTCACGTACAAATTGACAATAACCCATTTGCTGTAATCAGACATATGTAGTTGCCTCAACAATTGCAACCCCAGTTGCAATTGGGGTTGCAATTTCAAATTCTGTGTCATTACTAAGGAATAACGAAGTCTCTGGTGCACTCTAAGATTGAGAGAAAACGGAGGACTCAGGCGTCCTGAAGCGAGAGAAAACGGACTCCTATGATGGGGGACCAAATAAAGGAAGCATAGCTACATGTTTTCTGAACTACTGTACAGTATTGAGCGTACCCTTTTCATCACTTTGTAATAAACCTAGCCATGCCTATGTGTGTTTCTGATATTTACCATGACATTATACAGGTTGACAACCCTTTATCCGAAATTCCGAAAACCGAAAGTTTTTTTGTGGAGCAATTTTTTTTTTTTTTTTTTCAACAGGGATTAGCTCACCCGGGCATAGATCACTGACCCACATCGGGGCCTGGGGGGCGAAAATTATAATAATAATAATTATTCATAGTAAATAAAAATTTTAATAAAAAATACACCAAAATAAAATAATAATAATAACAATAATAATAATAAGAAGAAGAAAATATAATAATAAAATTAATAATAATAATAACAATAATACTGTATTAATAAAATAATAATAATAATAATAAAGAAATGCAAGAATGAAAAAAGATAAAAAGTGAGAAACACGACCTAGACCTATGAATTATTATTATTATAATAATTATTATTATATTTTCGCCTCCCAGGCCCCAATGTGGGTCAGTGACTTGTGCCTGGGTGGGCTAATAAAAAAAAAAAAAAATCTGAAAACCGAAAAATTCCGAAATCCGAAATGCCTCTGGCCCCAAGAATTTCGGATAAGGGATTGTCAACCTGTATATATATCTTTAGTGGGTCTAAATGGTCGTAAAATGGGAAAGTTGAGTTTGGGTCTTGGGTGCCTGGAACCAATTAGAATAAATCCCAGAGGTTCTGTACTTTCGTTATCACGTTTTTCGATATCACGCACTCGGTGTGGTCCCAATTAGGCGTGATAACCAAGGGATGACTGTATACAAGAAATATATAATTATTATATAATATTGTTCTAGATAATCTGCGGATAATACCATTGAAGCATCAATAACGACATCTGGCATTGTATTTTTTCAGCCACTAACCACATAACTTGATACAGTATCAATTTGATAAGTTTATTAGGAATTGTCTAATTATGATTCTCAGCAAATACCCCACATCCAAATAACAACATGAATCTTGGAAAAAATAATAATTACTTTTTTTTATATATCTTGGTATTCTGTTGTGCAGCGATGTGACTGGGACCACAGGGTCCCACGAGCTCAGCCCGCATCACAACAACACAGACTAACAAAGGATTGGAACCTTTTCACTTTTACTCTTTGCAAAATCAACCTATAATTTGACCATAGCTTTTGAGAAATACCAGGTATTATCCTAGACATAATTTGTAGCAGGACAGCACCAACACATCTTGACCATGACCACCAGCACAACAGCTGACACTATGAACAGTGTTACCATCTCTGAAACTGAATTCCTGCAACTTACCAACTTTTATGAGAAATAAGATTAAGTGGTATACAGTTATCCCTTGGTTATCGCGATTTTCGTTATCACGCCTCCTTCAAAATCTGCACACCTGCTGTTATAGCGCATTTTTCAAGTTGAGAATTTCGTTATCACACAGTTGCCTCCAGGTGTTTCTACCCATTTGCTTCACCTACATCTGTTGAGGATAAAATCTTTCACCTACAAATTGACAATAACACATTTGCTGTAATCTGACATATCTAAGTTGCCTCAACATATGCAACCCCAGTTACAACTTCAAATTCTGTGTCATTACTAAGGAATAACAAAGTCTCGGGTGCACTCTAAGATTGAGAGAAAATGGAGGACTCAGGCGTCCAGAAGCAATGAGAAAACGGACTTCTCAGACGGGGGACTCAAATATAGACAGCATAGCTGCATGTTTTGTGGACTACAGTATTGAGCATACCTTTTTCATCACTTGTAATAAACCTAGCCTTGCCTATATGTGTTTCTGATACTTACCATAACATTATGTATATCTTTAGTGGGTCTAAATGGTTGTAAAATGGGAAAATTGGGGTTGGGTCTTGGGTGCCTGGAACCAATTAGAATAAATCCCATAGGTTCTGTACTTTCGGTATCGCGTTTTTCATTATCACGCACTTGGCGTGGTCCCAATTAGGCGTGATAACCAAGGGATGACTGCTTACCAATAAATGTGAGGAATACATAAAAATAATACCAATAAATAAAAAATACTGTTCAGGCAATGTTAAAAAGTTAACACCATATACCGCTATGTGATTGTTATGCAATCTCAGAATGGCATAACACCTGTGACTCACAAGATGCGTGGGAGGTTCTGTCTGGCCCTGGTGATTGTCAGGCTAAGCAGTTGAATGTGTCGCATTGCCCAGGGGATGGTTTGTGTGTGGATGAAGCTATTCTTTGTACATAAAATAATATATATTGTACCAGTAAATGTGAGGAATAAATAAAAATAGTAAATAAATAAAAGAAAAGAAAAAATACTGTTTTGCCATTTGGCATTGTTATCACCAGTACGAGACCGCAGAGCCATGAGAGAATGCCACTCACTTTATTGTACTAGGTCCCACACACGTAATAAATGTTTAATCCCTTTATGTTTTTTATATTATGATAATAATTATTTTATTTATTTATTTTTGCACATTCTGTATGAACGAGTGTATGTGTATGTAACAGTAAAAAAAAGATGAAGAAAATTACATATATCTACCCAAAAATGGGAGTCACAAAATAACGATAAAGAATCTCACAACTTGGGAGGCTCATATATCGACACTGCACCCCCCTCCTGCACCACTACCCCTCCCACTGTTCACGGAGACAGAAGAATTCTTTATTCCCTTTATGTTTTTGACCTTATAATAATTATTTTTTATTAACAGTATGCCTGGATAATTCGCGGATTTTTATTTTGCAGTCCTCTATTATTCGCGGATGACACCCTGGATGTACCCAAGAATGTCTTAGGGTAGTTTTAAAGTTGCTGGTATTTTTGCAGCTGGGGCAGGAAGCCATTTGTTCTAGAGACAGTAATTTCCTTTACCTGTATGTGTATTGTATATAAGTGTTTGTGTGTAGACACACACACACAAAACACATACAAATAAATAATAATGGGAAAATCCTCTCACAAATAATCAGAATTTTTTTTTTTTTAAATTAGGGGGAAATTCAATGCCTGTATGTGTTACATGATATTGATGTATCGTTCTGGAGAAATTACATGTTAGATAGACTTGTTTAAAGATTAAATGATAAAGGAATTTTATTACAAAAGTGACACATAATATGTTATGGGTTAGCAACAACAAATACATTGCCCAAATTATGCTCTCGTAAATTGTCCCATTTACTGATGCTACACCAGGACTGAAGCAGACGACACGGATACAGTATTTTATTTTTTTCTTGTTTTCATATTTTCCATAGACAATTTATAAATACAGTATAGTACTTTTAATAATTCTAATATGAACTGACTTATTATCATATTGGAATAAGAAGTGTCATGATATATGTCCAATTTCCCCTGGAACTGACCATTACGTTGTCTGAGTGTTGCCTGTAAAGATCTTTCAGTACTGATTTGTCTTACAGTTTCAAAATTTTGTGTTGTAGATGATAAATAACCATTCAGTAGTTTGATTTCAGATTTTTTTTTCCATTTTAGATCACTATTGCAGAGTAAGCACTAAAATAAAATTAATCAACAGGACGACATTGATTGGCTGAATCACAATGCTCCTATTGTATAGAAAACCATGTTTGCTTATACCAGTTTCAGTAAAGCTGGCCGTTTTGTGAGAACACAACTCCCGGTGAAAATGAGGGCAATCTTTGTGCAGTCCATTAATATATGAGATAAAGCATATGAGATTGTGCACAATTTTTATCAACAATTATTTTACTGTATTTATATTTGGTAAAATTATTTGTTACTTAAGGACTTTCATTATCATCATCTGATATTTCCCGTATGTATTTACTGAGAGCTCCATAAAATAAATGTTTTGAATCTTGAAACTGTTATTCTGTATTTATATAAATGTTGAAACTTCCTCTTTATGCTGCATTTACCTTTGTTAGGTGATTGGGTGCGGCGAGATTCTGGTGTAGGAGCCGGCATAGACTCCTACTATGAGTACCTGCTAAAAGCCTATGTCTTATTAGGTGATGAAGGCTATTTGGAGAGGTTTAATAAAGTATGTATACAGGGTAATTGAAATTTATACTGGATATATAATTCACATATTTTAAGTGTATGAAACATTTTAAAATATTTTAGTTTATTTATTAAGATTATATTTTTACAAGCGATACAGTATATGCAAATGAAAAGAGGCAAGAAATAAGTGCTGTGGTGTGATGAGAGAGCATGGTTGTGTTGGTCATGGGTAATACAGTACTACATTGCATGAAGTATGGGGGGGAAACCAAATGGAAATAATTGGGGTGTGTTATTGAAGGATATAACTCCCTGTTACAACAGTTACAGAAAAAGAATGTCAACAAATGATGGGAGAGTTTGTGTGTACCTTGTGGGAAAATGTTTGTAAGAGTGAAAAACACATTAAAGAATTATTTATAATTGTGCACTGTTCTTTCATGAGTATCTGATATGTTAAGTGGATTTATGGACACTTGAGTGTTTGATTTAATAATTATTTGTGTTATATACAGTACAGTACAGTATATGGTATATATCCTTGTAAAATATGATCTTCACTAGGCTTGTGTATTTTTTTAATTATGAAGATTTTATTATATGAATAATCTCTAAGCATTCCAAATTTTACAAATCCAGGAGAGAAGAATATTGTAGTCATACATATATTTCAAGTACTGTATGTTAAAGGTTTAAACAAAACATCTGTCAAGGAAAAAATGATGATATATTGTGTTTTATTTTTAAAGATTACAGCATGTATTTTATATAATATATGATTAATTGCAACGTGAATCTCGTCTCAACCAACAGCATTACAGTGCAGTTATGAAGTATATCAGTCAAGGTCCAATGTTGTTAGATGTCCACATGCACCGTCCCCATACAACTTCCCGTAACTTTATGGATGCTCTCTTGGCGTTCTGGCCTGGACTTCAGGTAAACACCATGTTCATGAAATAAAATTTTTATTGTGTTATATACAGTAAACCCCCATTATAACGGACACTGTCTATAACGGACCTCAGCTTTAACGGACACACTGACCTGTTTGGACTAGGTTCATATAGTATTGTGGAGTCAGGTCCGTTAAAGTAAAAAATAATGGATTTGAGTTCATTTTGGTAAAAAAATAAATAAATATAGACTGGTCCTTTTGTATCCAAATTATCACAAATAATTACAGTAGTCCCTTGTTTAGCCCTACCCTGCATTATGCTGATTCATTATATAGCTCTTTGGTCCTCTTCTGGAGTTATTTTTTATTAGAAAAAAAAAAGTTGAAAAATCCCTAATACAGGGTTCAAGGCAGAAGTTAAAAGACAGAATACTCGGGACTCACCAACAGCGGCCTTGCTTGTTTACAGTCTTTCCACCAATGAGAGCGATGTACCTATGTACGCTCGCAGCCAGTCAGCACTCCTCTTGTGTAATAAATTTTCATAACATTCAACGTACTTGGCATACTCACTCTTTGCGTGACTGATTTCTGCATATAATAGTGAATATTTGTGCTCCAAGTTATTTTTTACTCGAAAAACTTTAAATTCATATTATGTACAAGTCAGCTGTTCACTTGTGCCTAGCAGTGCAACAGTCATTATTATGCATAATTAAACCCCGACTTACAACCGACCAATACAGTACTATACATGTTACTAACTTGTAGAGCGACTATGCTTATTCTGTTAGCCTGCAGGCCGCCACTCCGTCGCCTCAGTTTGAATGCATTCACATCCTGTAAACACCAGTTTGTGGTTGTGATTATGAGTGTTGGTGGTGATTGTTGGTGGTGGTGGCAGAACGAGTGTTGGTGATGGTAGGGAGCGTTGGTGGTGATGATGAGTGGTGGCGGTGAGTGTTGGTGGTGAAAGTGACTCACGTGGTCACTTCGGACTATGTTGGTGTATAATGGACCGAGTCCATTATTATTCCGGGTCCAAATACTATAACAAACTTTCTGCTTTAACGGACCGGTCCCCCCCCCCCATTAGTCCATTATATCGGGGGTTTACTGTACATTGTTCGTAAATTTCTCATTAAATCTAAATGGTAATATTGAGGATAATGTTTCATTAATAATATCAAAGATGTTAATTCATATGATAATTATTTTCAGGTGCTAAAGGGAGACATTAAGCCAGCCATTGAGACACATGAAATGCTGTATCAGGTGATTCAACGTCATAATTTCTTGCCTGAAGCATTCACTACAGACTTTCAGGTTAGAAAAATGTTCCTCTTAAAATGTTATTTGTCCCTGGGGATAAATTTATTCTAGATTATCTCTACAGATAAAACTCCCAGATCTTAGTAAAAAGGGCCAAAAAAAAAAAAGAATGTGTCAACTAACTTGTATAGAGAAAGCTGTCAGAATGAACAGTGTGGTCTAGTATCTGGTAAGATGAACTTCATTAACCACGAAGATTAAGGTCCAGTCCTAATAGAGCTCTAATCCTATTGGGTAGATAAGGTTGGGCCCATTTAGCCTGCACCTGTTTGTTGTAACCCCTTCTCTGTGTCATACAAAATATGCCATAAGTGATTGCTCTCTTTCCCTCTCTCTTTTTCTGTATAGAGATATAGTAGAGTATCTGAATACAGTGGTCCCTCGATTAATGAACACAATTGGTTCCACAGAGTTGGTTGTTAACCGAAAATTTCGTTAACTGAATATTATTTCAATGGGATATTGGGTAATTGGTTCCAGCCCACAGAAAAAGTATACGTACTTACAAAGTACTGTATACCGGAAATAGAATTCGCAAAACATTAAATATAAACTAAATACAGTACTGTACAATAATAAATAAAAAATATAATACCGTATTTTAACTTACATTGAGGTGTGTATGTCGTATTCCTGGAAGCTTTGTTTACATATCAAACGGCTGATTGTAGGGGCAATTGATGATGACATGCCATATTCTTTACAGAGTTCATTGGTTCTAATGCCTTCATGTTTAATAATAATTTCTGCACTGTATATTATCAATATGTTAACTAAATTTCAGAATGACCAATAATTTTAATGTAAAAATGCAAAAATATTCAAGAGACCAACAAACTCGATGTTGACTCCACTGTAAACAAAGTTAAACTGAGAAGCGTTGGTGGGTGATTCGATCAGCTGAAGGGCACACAAAAACTGTTCCCTGTACTGTATATATTATCAATGTGGTAACAGAATTTCTGAATGACCAATTATTTTAATAAAAAAAATTCAAAAATATACAAGAGCACAACTTTCTTGATAATTACTCCACTGGAAACGAATGTAAACATAGAACCAATTACTGCATTGGCGGACTAGCCGATCAGCTGATGCGCACAACAAACCGTGTTTCTCGTAAGGCTGTCGTTAATCGAAGTTTCGTTCGTTTATGGAGCTGAAAATCCTTATGGAAGTATAATTCGTTAACCAAAATATCGTTAATTGAACCGTTTGTAATCGAGGGATCACTGTATAACGCAAATATTCTTGAAATGCTTTTTTCTGTAAATGAAAATTTGGAAATAATAATGAAACAGTTATTCTTACCAGAAGTCATGTATGATATGTAGCATAATAATGGGTAGATGTACTCTAAGTAGATGAACTATAGCCAACATGTGTAGGTGGTTCTATAAAAGGATATATGATGAGTTCCTTATGGGAGGAATAATTTTTATCCTGTCTGTTCATCTGTCACAAACTATAAAATGACAACTCTTCTTATATGTTTCATGGAATGGATTTAATATTTGGTTTACTTCATTATCATCATCTGAAGATGGCCTTTTAGTATTTCTATGTTGTTTAATAAAATTTTGAGTTTTGTTACTTTGAAATATGACTTCCAGTGCCAAAGCCCTGTACAGGCATTATCTTTTGACAGCAGCTTGTCTCATACTATTCATTAGATTAATTTGATGTTGTGCCTAGTGTTTCATTTAATTCTGAAACTGAAGAATTATGGACTTGTTGAATAGAATTTTAATCTTTTCATTATCTAACTAATGTCTTGTGTAAAATATGGGTGAAAGGGGCGGAGACATCTGTTTTCGTTTCCTAAAAAATCCTATAATGTATCAAAGGTTTGTATTAAACATAACATTGCAAATATTTCCTCATTATTTCATAATTTTTTCCAGGTTCACTGGGGTCAGCATCCGTTACGACCTGAGTTCCTAGAGTCCACATACCTCCTATATCTTGCAACAGATGACCCGTACTATCTGAGAGTTGGGGAGCAGGTACTACGCTCACTACAAAAACATGCTTGGGTTCCCTGTGGCTATGCTGCTGTTAAAGATGTTCGCACGGGTGTACATGAGGACAGGTATGTTTGCTTAGCTACGCCTAGGGATTGAGGACCATTTTGTTGTATTTGTGGGTAGAATTCAATATATTGAATCTGGTTTTATATTTTTCTGCATGTCTGTGTACACGTGGAAGGATCAAACCTGTACTGTACATGGAAATTAAATGCGTTTCTTGAAATCATTAAAAATTAATGGCTTGTAAACTGATTAGTGATAGAATTGATGAAAAAAAAATTATATTATTATTTTTTAAGATGCATGAACTGGGCTGGTCTTGAGATAGAATATGCCAGTCTATCTGTCTATGTAAGTTTTCAGGGGAAATTTTACATCTGAAAACTTCAATGACTTGGGAAGCCAGTGTGGAATATTATAAAACAAACATAATCATAATCACTCTGTTTTCTTGCTCCTTTATGGGACATATTGTCCAGGATCTTTGCAGCATTTTCACTACAGAAGGGTCGCAGAGTACATGTATCCATAGTATGCGACCCCGTTTATACGCGTCTGACCCCTTGAACCTCCCAGAGGATGGTTTGAGTGTTTATACATTTAAAGTGTTCATATGGTACCGTAAGCTTAATATTTGTGCTCGTTTATACATTTAAGGTGTTTCTATGGTATCATAGGTTAAATTATTGCCAAGGCATCCTTTTCACTCTTGCATTGGTTCCATGAACAACTCCCCAGCATTGTCGCCCATAAACTATCTTTACTGGCGAATTTTACTGCAATCATGGCCCCTAAGAGGAAAATAATGGCATTGCTCGTGGTGGTAAGAGTGAGAAAAAAAAGTGCATATTGTGAGACCTTTTGAAGAAAAATTCATTCGACTTATTAAGGAGTGGTGTATTGAACTCTGATGTTGCACTATGGTTACCTTATAATAAAAAATGGTTATAGGTATACAGTATATTCATGCGGACCCGAATATACGTGAATTTGCACTTAATGTGGAGATCCCGGGGATGTAACTCTTGCGTACTCTGAGATCCTACTGTACAGTATATGTTTTGACAACTAATTGATTAGAGTGAGAAAGTTGTAGTTTATTTAACAAATTAATATTGATTTATTATACATTTATTCTTGATTAATTGTTCTTGTTTAATTTTAAGCATACACTTAATATGTCTTTCTAGTTTGTTTAAATTTTTTTACTTGGTTTATACTTTTACAGGAGAGATTTAAGTTTGTATTCAGAAGACCTTCAGAGTTCTTACCCTTTTCTCTCTTCTCACAGAATGGATTCATTTGTTCTGTCAGAGACCTTCAAATACCTGTACTTGCTCTTTGCTAAACCAAGTGACCTGATAATTGACTTGGACCAGTTTATCTTCACAACGGAAGCTCATCTTCTACCTCTTTCTCTTGCCCGACTTTCTAATTTGACAGTTGTTCCTGTAAGTATTGGACAGTTTTACAATTACTAATGTCTACATACTTCAGTATTAAGAAATTTTATGTTGAATAAAAAAAAAATTATGTAACCCTTGCAGAACTAAAGTATATGAAATTTAAGAGAATATTTGGAATATAAAAACAAATAAATAAACTGAAACAATGTCATTTAACCCAGTTTGTATATAACAGGGTCCAGATAATCAAGATAATGCGCAAGACAGTGATGTGGAGTATGCCCGATCTTGCCCAAATGCTCACTTTCTCTTCCCTGGTCGTCATGAATTTGCTGAAACCATAAGACGGCCCCTTAAAAACTTTGTGAATAATGTGTGCCCTTCACGTAAGACTATACGGAGAAAATTACGAGCCTCTGAGTTTCAAGCAGGGAATAGTCGACACATGGGTCTATTGAAAGATATGGGCATTACAATTATGGCTCTTCCAGATGGTCGTGTTCAGTTGCTGCATACTTCGTCTAATGTAAGCCCTCTCAATACATCTGTCTTTATATAAACATATGTATAATTTGTAGTGTATATGGTAAATAAATATCTTTTTTTTCTTCATATCTGTACCATATATGAATGTGGGTAGTTGCAGTGTCCTCTGCTGCAACAGCAGTGAGCACAATTGATTCTTAATTGATCATCGTCACTTTTTGCAGGCATTTTCCACGTTTTGCCTGGGTTAGCTGCGATTACCTAATGGCATGGTGTCACAGTTGCCCTCAAACAAATTTGAAACAAGTTTTACAGCTTTATGTCCTTCCTATTGCCAATCCACCTTTACAGTGGGAATTGTGCATTATATGAAGGTCTTCCAAGTGCCTTCTTAACTGGCAAGGCAGGGTCACTCAATGTGCACCCAATAAGCTGTTGGATTAGGGCCTAGAGGCATTGACATTAGTTGACTGTTACTAATCTGAATAATTATTAAGTCTTCCCAAAAGCAATAGAAACCATAAGAAGGGGTAATTAAAATCCCAGGATTTCTCCCTCTAAGACAAAGAGGGAGGCATTTGCCGGAGCCCTATTTCACAGAAACGACCATAGATCACAGGGTTTCCAGCCTTACCTTCATAAGCGTGGAATTGCCTTGGAACTAGGAAAAAAATAATTTGTACTCGAATTTAAATAATTATTTCTTTTTCCTTTTCAGGCAAGGTCATCAGATGATGCAGAAGAAGGACTTTTGTTCATGCAAGAGATGATAGAATTGAGTAAGCTACAGCAGGAACAACCTGAAAACCCTCCTCGGGTGGTGTCCTTCTTGCATGTGGTGGATGGCCAACCTGTCACAACTACCATACAGGCTGGTCCTGCTCAATTTGGACTTGATTTAAAGGGAGATGTTGAGGTATATAATTTTCTTGGTGCATTAATGAGTTACTTTGCTTTTCATTAAAAATTTCCTCTTTCATTTCTTTTCTTTTATAAATTACAGTATAGGCATCTTATGGTTGCAAAATATTGTGTTGCTCAAATATATATATATATATATGTGTGTGTGTGTCACTCTGGACAAGTTTTGACTGTACTATCATGAAAGATTGGTGGGGTATCTGTGTCCTTTACTCAGAGCTGGTCACTGTTTCAAGTGCCAGGTCTAGGGGAACTTAAAAAATAGTGGGAGAATACAGAATGGTTGTTAACAGTGATTTTGTATGTTCCTGTTAAATATCTGAAGAGCTCAGTTGATTCCCACAACTAAGTAGGTTCCGTAAAGGAGCTTTTGAATTAGTCAGGAATGGAAAAAAATAGTTGATAGTTCGATAGATTGCTTGATTTATAGATGGATGTTGATATCGTAAAATCTCTTGAGATCCCATAATTGTTAACATAGTACAGTATGTTACTTGTAGAAAATAAAAATGACAAAGATGTTTGAAAAATGTTATTCATCAGAAATTGTTGGAATGAAGTGTTCTGTTTCATACATTTTTACTTATGTTAATAATTCAGGAATTGATGCTCAACAGGTGAGTGGACCAGCGTTAAAGGCTAGTCCACTTAGAGCCTGTGAGCAGCTGGACAATGAAAGTGAAGTACAAGGCAAAATAGCCATCATAGAACGAGGAGATTGTATGTTCATTGAGAAGGTTAGTCATTAAAATTTGTAATCCAGCACACTACTATATATTAATGGGATGGGAGGACAAACTGCAATTACTTGTACATGTGCCCCTCAATATATGAATGGGTTAGGTTAAAAAAAAAAGAAGTGAAATTTTGTATAGCAAATAGAACAAAATAGGGCAAAAATAGGTTTGGTTCCCTAATGACAAAAATACCCCAAAAACATGAAATTGGTTCACAAACAAGAAATAACCAACCTGACTAATAATAAATAGCGCACACACACCTACTGTAATTTAATACAGCATGCCCTTCAAATTTGCGGGGGTTAGGTTCTCAAAATGGCCGCGAATCGCCAAATCTGCAAATAACATTTGCTGACGGAGGGGTACATTTTTACTTGTGGACAAAGAAATGTATATTCCCTTTGTGTTTGCCCTTAGGACAATTATTTCTTTTACCTGTATTGTATAGATTGTATGTTTGTGTGTGTGTGTGTGTGTGTGTAGACTCAACATTTTTAATACTACGTTTGTTTCTGATTATTTGTGAGAGGATTTTCCCATTATTATTTATTTGTATGTGTGTGCGCGCGCACACACACACACACACACACACACACATACACATACACATATATACAATACAGGTAAAGGAAATTGCTGTCTCTAGAACGAATGGCTCCCTGTCCCGGCCGCAAAAATACCGGCAACTTTAAAACTACCTGCAGACATTTTTGGGTACATCAAGGGTGTCATCTGTGAAATCAAAATCCGCAGATTATCTGGGTGTACTGTACCAATATCGTTAAAACATTAATAAAATACTATTTAGCTGAAAATATGCAGCTAAACCTATTAAGAAGGTAAATCAAAGTTTAACTCGGCCGTCAGCAGCGCCATTTGCATAGATGCTGGTTGCTTCACGCTCGGTCACCCTAAAGCCTCATCATAGCAATGCAACCGAGCAGCCTCTGGCAACCCTTAACAATATCATACCAGTACCCTCCCTCCCCGCTCATCCTGCTAACTTTCACTGGAGCACAAAGGAATGTTTATTCTCATTATGTTTTTGACCTTATGATATATATTTATTTTTTTTTTTGCACAATCTGTATGTAGGATTGTGTGTGCATGTAACTGAATTAAAAACATATGAAGAAAGTTATATTTATATACCCAAAATTATGAGTTGAAAAATAACCATAACATAACTCCTACCTCTGCTTGGTCGGGAGAGCACTAGGGGGATGTGGCCGCCCCAGCAGACTCCCGTGGGTGCACAATTTGAATTTTTGCTTAGACCCAAATTCATACCACGAAAAAGAGGTGATAATTTGGGAAATTTGTATAAAAAAATTTTTGTATCTCGAACGTTCATATAGCGAGGGACACCTGTATCTGGAAAACCTTTTATTTGAAAAACCCGTGGTCCTGACCATTATGCATGAAAAAGGTCCTACTGTATTACAATATTAATTTTAAAGTTGTTGATTGTGACCTACAATTAAGACCAACTTTGGTTAAGTTGTTGTTAACCTTTTGCATTTAGGCAGTAAATCTTTGGATACACACAAACATACACTACAGTGTCTCCCTCATGTTTAATATCCTTTTGCATTATTCTTGTTATGAAGAATAATAAGGAATACAGTATCATCATTTATTAAGAAGTAAGAATGTCCAGTAAGAGGTACTATACATTCCTGTACTGTATCATCTTTAAAAATATAGGGAAGTCTGTGTTAATTATTTATTTGAGTTGGTTGGGGTTGCATTGGATATTGCATTATTTAAATTTTTTTAGTATGCCATATATATTTAGCACAATTTTTTTTATTTATCAAAAAAGTTTAGGGTAAGTTGTAAAACTGAAAACAAATGTACATATTCTTTGTGGTGGGTGAGCACTTACCAAACACAGTTTAATAATACTTATACAACACAGTATTTAGAGTTTTGGGTTCAAAGAGTGGCTGTCTATGGTCATCAGTGGTGTTTTTACTATGAAAAAAAAAGTTGAAGCTCCACACTGGAAAATTTATTTTTTATCTTGTTTGTTATTGTTGTTTTTTTCTTTCTTTTCTTTTTTGTCCCCACATGCTAGCTCCTTTTCATGTAAGTTTTGAAGATGTTTCTTTTTAAATGCTAGTACAGTATAATAGCTTACAGCTGCAGGCCCTATTTTTTTTCTTCATATGTGATTGATTTCCTAACCATTTTCATTATCAGGCTCGCAGGTTGGAGGCACTTGGTGCTGTTGGAGGTATTGTGTTAGATAACACCCCAGGAACATCTGCCAAAAGTTCACCAATGTTTGCAATGTCTGGTGATGGGACAAATGATGTGAACATCCCACTGGTATTCCTCTTCTCGGGTGATGCTGAGATACTGCTGAAGGCTCTTGATGACCAGCCTGGCCTTGAGGTTGTACTCTCTGACTTTGCCGATAAAGGTAAGTCACAGTATTAATGGTGTAATTTGTTATTCCATAATTGATTTAGGGTCTAAGAGAATATGAGAATTATATATACAGTGGTCCCTCGGTTAACGAATTACCTTACATAAGAATATAAAATTCGGTTAACGAAATTTTTACGAAAATGTTTCGTCATGCTTTGGCTTGCTCACCAGCTGGGAGATTAGTCCGCCAAAACAGAAATCGGTTCTAGGGATTACATTCGTTAAAATTGGAGTAAATATCAAGAAGGTTGTACTATTTCAATAATTTTCCAAGTTTTATTTTAAAATTTTGAGTCATTTTAACACTTATTTAACATAATTGCAGTACAGGGAATTAGTTTTTCATGCGCCAATCAGCAACTCACCTCACCCAACAGGCGTCAGTTTGTATCTCTGGTCAGTGGAGGTAACATCTTGCTTGTTGGCCCTCTTGAATATAAACTAGTTTTACGTTTTTACAGTACAATTATTGGTCATTCTGAAATTTATTTTACATATTGACAATATATAGTGCAGTGCAGTGTTGATTTAAAGAAAATTATCTTGAATTACACCAAGTGAACTTCAAATTTTATGGGTGAAATGATGGCATGAAGCATGGGGTGATTTCTCTTCCACCCCACTTCCTTCTCTTCTCCACCACCCCTACTTCCTTCTCTTCTCCCTTCTCTTCCACCCCTACTTCTAATTCCCATCATCATCATCAATCAGGAGCCTTCTATATACACTTTACTGCATTTATTTTTACTTTGTATGTAATTTTCAGTGAGCTGGAACCAATTACCCAAAATCCCATTGAAACAATGGTTTCGGTTAACGAACGACCTTCTGGAACGAATTGTGTTCGTTAACCGAGGGACCACTGTGTGTGTGTGTGTGTGTGTGTGTGTGTATATATATATATATATATATATATATATATATATATATATATATATATATATATATATATATATATATATATATATATATATATATATATATATATATATATATATATATATATATATATATATATATATATATATATATATATATATATATATATATATATATATACACACACACACACACACACACACACACGGTGGTCCCTCGTTTAACGAGCACAATCCGTTCTAGAAGGTTGCTCGTTAACCGAAACCATTGTTTCAATGGGTTTTTGGGTAATTGGTTCCAGCTCACCGAAAATTGCCTAAATTCAACAAAAAAGGTAGAAAAGTACACTTACTTTGAGGTGTGTATGTAGAAGGCTCCTGGATGATGATGATGGGAATTAGAATTGGGGTGGAGGAGAAGAGAAGGCATTGGGGAGGAAGAGATGTCACGCCATGGCGCCATTTCACCCATAAAATTTTAGTTCTCTTGGTGTAATTCAAGATTATTTTCTTTAAATCAACACTGCATTGCATTATATATTGTCAATATGTAAAATAAATTTCAAAATGACCAATAATTTGCTTGGAAACACAGAAAAAAGCATTTAGTTGAAGAGAGTCTCAAGCAAGATGTTACCTCCACTGAAAAGACACAAAGACTGACGCCAGTATGGTGTGTTGAGAGGCTGGATGGCGCGCATAAAACTAGTTTCATTACCTTCAATTATGTTCAATAATTGTTAAAATGACTAAAAAATTTAATATTAAACTTTTAAAATTATTGAATAGTATAAACTTCTTGATATTTGCTAAAATGGTAAGGAATTTAAGCCCTAGAACCGATTACTGTATTGGCGGACTAATACTACAGCTGGTGGACCGCCAAATACAAGCGAAAATATATATATATATATATATATATATATATATATATATATATATATATATATATATATATATATATATATATATATATATATATATATATATATATATATATATATATATATATATATATACACATATATATATATATATATATATATACACAGTGGGGTATGCTATAACGAACGTAATTGGTTCCAAAACCTCGTTCGTTATAGCATTCGTTCGTTATAGGATTAATCCGTTCCGGACCCACAAATACAACCACTTAACACTGAAAAAATTCTGTGGAAACTGTAAAAAATACGGTACTTTATCTTACCTTAGTGTTATTCAATGCAGGTACCTCTAAACACTGGCACATCACTATCACTTCCACTGGGAGTCTTGGCTTTAAGGTCCTCAAACAATTGACTGGCCTTCTCACAAATTATAGCTTCACTAATGTTACCACCTGCCATTTCTTTCTCCTTTATCCACACTAAGAGTAAATTTTCCATCTCTTCAATCACATTACACCTTGCTTTGCTAAGTCTAAAGATTCCCTTAGCCACTTGCACAGTTTTTAACTCCTCTTTATTCTTCAAAATCGTACATATAGTCGATTTAGCCATCCCATATTCATCACTAAGTTTCGCAATGCTTCTTCCATTCTCACGTTTCTTTACAATTTCTTTCTTAGTTTCAAGGGTTATTAGCTTTCTCACTCGCTTTGGACGACTCATTGTTACAATTGTATACTTGTATAACAAAATAGTTATACAAATAACGCGAATTTCCACATCAAAAGACGAAATTTCAACAATAACAGTGGTGCACTGGCTACACAATGAGACAAAGATGGCGCCTGACGCTCTTGTTGTGGGTCGCGGTACAACAATATTCATGCGCCTGGCGAAATAGTCCCGTACTCATCCGCGTTCGTTGTAGGAGTTGAGTTCGTTATAGCATTCTCAATTTTATAGGTAAAACCGTTCGTTATAGGAATATTCGTAGTAGGATCCTTTCGTTATAGCATACCCCACTGTATATGGTATCACAGTACAATACTCATTGATATACAAAAAATACTATTAATAAAAACCTTTTCAATATTTCACACTTAATATAATACCCGGTAATCCACCTCAACCTCATATTGTTTACAACAATGTACGCCGCACCACCAGCTGTTGAGTATCAGCTAGATGGTACACATGTTTTTCGAATCGTTTTCAGTTAAAAAACTGTTACATCACACGTACATTTTACCTTAACTGTGCCTGAATGAATATGTTCTCAGAAATAAATACAGTAGTAGTTTTGCTGAAACATGATGTATATCAATGTAAAATAGAATAAAATACATGATGAAAACAAAAGACTTTACCTAACCTTACAATGTTCAAGAGAAGTTACTCGTTTTATTAATAGTTTTCGGTTAAAATACTGTTATATTACAATGATAATCTATTCATACTGTGCTTGATATGATACATTCACAGAAATGTAATATTTTTGCTGAAATGCTTGCAGTATTACAGTGGAAAGTGGGATAAAACCATGACGAAAACAATCAACTTTCGCTTTCTTTCGTTGTTCAAAAGATGTTACCGTAATCGCTTTTCGAATGGTTTTCAGCTAAAAATACTGTTGTATCACAATAATATTCCCTCCTAATTGACTTGAATAAATACTTGAATGAAAATATACAATATTTTTGCTGAAACTACCTGCGCTTCAGTGTAAAGTGTCGTAATAATGGTAAAAAATTTGCCTTCGGCGCTCGGTGTTTCAAGTACGACGACCCTCAGTTTATAGGACGTAGAGTGTTTTTAGTGAAGGTTTTGCTGTTCCATTCCCCTCAAAAACTTGGGTCGACCTATAAACGAGGCATATCATAAATTAATTATTTCTTGGTAAGAAAATCAGGGTCGACCTATTGGGTAATTGGTTTCAGCTCACAGAAAAGTACACTTACTTTAAGGTGTGTATGTAGAAGGTTCCTGGTTGATGATGATGATGATGGGAATTAGAAGTGGGGGTGGAGGAGAAGGGTGAAGAGAAGGAATTGGGGATGGAGGAGAAATCACCTTTCAGGGGACCCATGCTTGATGCAGTAATTTCACCAATAAAATTTTAAGTTCACTAGGTGTAATTCAAGATTATTTTATTTAAATCAACACTGCACTGTGCTATATATTATCAATATGTTAACTAAATTTCAGAATGACCAATAATTTTAATGTAAAAATGAAAAAATATGTAAGAGACCAACAAAATCGATGTTCACTCCACTGTAAGCAAAGTTAGACTGAGAAGCGTTGTTCGGTGATTCAATCAGTTGATGGGCGCACAAAAACTGTTCCCTGTACTGTATATATTATCAAGATGTTAACTAAATTAGAATGACCAATAATTTTAATATTAAAAATGCAAAAATATTCAAGGACCAACTTTCTTGACATTTACTCCACTGGAAACGAATGTAAACATAGAACCAATTACCTGTACTGTATTGGTGGACTAGCCGATCAGCTGATCAGCTGATGCGCACAACAAAACGTGTTTGTCGTAAGGATTTCGTTAATCGAACTGAAAATCCTTATGGGATCTAATTTGATAACCAAAATTTTGTTAATCGAACCATTTGTTAACCTAGGGACCACTGTAATATTACTTCGCGTCAGGTTTTTCAGGAACGCAACCCCACCATTAAACGAGGGATACCTTTAGGTGGATGCATTGGAAAAATAATGAGAAGCATGATGCATGATTTTAACTAATATGTGATCTGTGATTGGCTTTTGTGCTTAATGTTCAATGAACACTGTATACAGTGTTGATAGTAAGAAAATTGAGGGAAGGGGTTAGAGACTAAATAATTTTTCTCCTTTAAAGATTATTTAAAATGCCAATTTGGCTCAAGACTCTGTTCTTGTTTGTTATTGTAGGTTTGAAAGTTTAGCTAGCCTTAAGGGCATAAAAGTAGAATTACCAGAGATATAATTAGTATGGATTTTAATTAAAAGAGAAGGCATTTTAAAAAGTCTGATGATATGGTCTTTAATTACTTGAGTGTATGGGAGGATCATTTATATTTTGTTTGATATATGACAATCTACGGTATGGTGTGCACAGCTTGCATTATTCTTTTAAATTTCAGATGTTGGTGAAGGTTCAGTTGAAGAGGTACATGTGGACTTAAAGGGGACAACAGAAGGTGGAGAGGAGTCATTAACCACAGGGTCTGAGGAAAGTGGATTGCCTCATGTCATATCCATCATGAACAACAGACAACAGGTGAGAGGAGATGACTTAAGTTAGTATTTAAAGAATAAACAGAATTGTATATACCATATTCTAGACTTTCTTAACTTTCAAGTGTCTTGAGTGGTTTGATATTCAAAATTTAGGATTTTTCTTCCCAGGAAAGTGAGAGTTTGACTGACGATGACTTGGTAACAGTTATTGAAGGACAACAGGCAATTCATCCTCAGTTGCTTGACCAAGAGGATCCGCACAAGCATCAGGTAAGTTTGAAACTATAATTATGACATTTTTCTCACAGGAGTCCATTTTCTTTTCCCACTTATATAAGGAATCATCCTTATATGAAACCGAGTCCTGTAGGCCAAACAGCTCATTAGATATTGGGCAAATACAGGACACCGAATGCTATGCCTCAGGATATAGGTGACAAGCAATGTATCCTCCCAGCCACTGAACCCCATCTTTATATATAATCATCCCCTGACATTTAGTAATCTTCACTTGACAGTGTCCTCATCATTACTGTAGGTTGCCTCCTCAGGTTTCATCATTTCTTGTGTGTCATTTTGTGAGATCAGATTTAGAAGGGGATTTCAAAATCCTTTCATGCCTTATCACACTGTAATACATACTTCATATTCTGAAGTGCAGTTTCACTTGTATGATTCTGTATGTGTGCAAATTAGAACATTCAGTAAAATTACTGGGTAGTCTTTTAGTGTTGGTAGATCTTACAAGTCACATACTTTGTCCCCTCAACCATAAAATAGGATTTTGTGTTTCAGTTACCCATTTTGTACATGCAAAAGGGACTTTAATTCATCCTGTGGCATTAATGGTCTAGATTTTTTTATAACATCTAGTGCTTTGTTTGTAGTTTTTCTCTGTAATTTGTCCATACAGGTAGTTCTGCTATAACGCGATAGTAGTGTTCTTGTAAAACATCGTGTTATAGAAATTCGTGTAATAGAAATAACAGGGCTTATGGAGAAAATAGGGTTAGGTGCAGATTACTCCAAATCGAAAAAAAATTTCGTAGTTAGCCTAACACAAAGGATAGCACAGTCTAAATAAATGTTACATTCATATCTAATAATGAAATCATACAGTAAATGTTACACTTTACCTTGAAAAAATATGAATATAACTTGATGGGGGATAAGGGTGATGTTGAGGCTGAGGAGTCATGAAACATCAAGCTTTTCTTCAAGTGTTATAGCCTTTCTTTTACGATCACCACCGGAAATGCGATCACCAGAGTGCTTCCCAGAGATATTCTTCTTTTCCATAGTCACAAAATTGGAGAAACAGTAATCAGAATTCACCGAGGACACTTAAAAACTTCACGTGTTTCAAACAAAGTGTGGAGTAAACAGAGCGCTCGGGTCTAAAACACTATGTATTTTGTTTTTCTCTTATTTAAAAGTTTACATTTTACATATACTGTACAGGTATACTGTATACATAAATATTACATAAATTATTTCTGCAATTCTTCACAAACAAAACACATAAATCAATTGAACATATGATGTCGAACGTGAACTGTAAACACTGCATAACCCCGCACCAAGCCACAATGTACAGTACACTTTAAACGCTACTTATTTTGTTTTTCTCTCTTATTTAAAATTTTACAATTTACATATACTGTACAGGTATTTCTTCACAAACAAAACACATAAATCAATTGAACAAGTGATGTCGAACGTGAACTGTAAACATTGAGCCAAGCCACAACACTGTACAGTACACTTTAACACTTTAAACGCTACGTATTTAGTTTTTCTCTTTTATTTAAATTTTTACGATTTACATATATATATTTCATGTAAATCCACAATGAAAACGTGGATAAGATAAAATCACACGGGAAAATGGAAACAACGGAGTACCTTAGCTTTCGTCTTTATTCAGAGGCAACTGGATTACATGGACAGAAAGAGGCTTAAATATACAGGGTGACCTAAAAACATGAGGTCAGCTCATAATGATGACATCCACTAATCCCCACACCAACACACACGTAGAGGAGCTTAAGAGAAGGGTGGTGACGTGACTAGCCAGGTCAGGTCAGAAAAAAGGGACCCACAAAATAACTATCATACATCTAGATCAAAGGTTTTCAAAGCATTTTTAACCTTGGGCCACTGACAAATAAATTTATGTAACATATTATCAGTTTTGAACTGACCATCACTAAGGTTTATTGATTTTAATTCCTTAATCAAACTAGCTTCAACCAGAAGTCATTTCAAACATAATATGTTACATAAATTTATTTGTCAGTGGCCCAAGGTTAAAAATGCTTTGAAAACCTTTGATCTTGATGTATGATAGTTATTTTGTGGGTCCCTTTTTTCTGACCTGACCTGTCTAGTCACGTCACCACCCTTCTCTTAAGCTCCTCTACGTGTGTGTTGGTGTGCGGATTAGTGGATGTCATCATTATGACCTGACCTTATATTTTTAGGTCACCCTGTATATTTAAGCCTCTCTCTGTCCATGTAACCCAGTTGCCTCTGAAGATGTCTTGAATAAAGACGAAAGCTAAGGTACTCCGTTGTTTCCATTTTCCCGTGTGATTTTATCAAGATATATATATATATATATATATATATATATATATATATATATATATATATATATATATATATATATATATATATATATATATATATATATATATATATATATATATATATATATATATATATATATTGTAATTTACATATTATTCATATTATGCTAGAGCGCCCACAAAACATGAGAAACGTTTGAGTCCCCCAGTAGAGATGTCCGTTCTCTATCCACTCCAGGATGTCCGTTTTCTTTTTGTGTACTCGCTCAGGGACTCAAGTATTTCTGTATATGACACAGGATGATAAGGGAATTTGAATTTATTTGTTTATTTATTTATATATAATATACTGTAATATATTAAATATACTGCAAGTATTTTCTTTAATTTATATACGTGTTTCGCGAAAAAGGGAGGCTACATTTATGGTGATCGTTAAGGACCAAACTCCGAATCCATGACGTGACTTCTGTTCATTATTTATATCCTAAATTTACCACTGTCGGCAGTTTCAAGAATTAATGCAGTCATTTACTGAATATTCTTTGCAAAAAAATAAATTTTAAATGAATTATTTATAAGAGATAAGTATTATGATCAGTAAATATACAGATATGCATTACTGACCACCTCCGAACACAAGGATGGCTAAAAATAGCCACAGGCGGTCACAGTCAAGGTCACTTTCCCTTTCTTGTCACTGGCAAATGGGGGAGGGGGGGATGATAATAGCAGCTGTGTTTATTACGGTATGTTAGACTGGTTTATAATACATTTTTATTATTTTAATATACCGGTAATCTTCATTTTAATCCAGCTTACCAAACGTAAGTTTCAGTATAAAATAATTAGTGGTACTGTAGGACCTTGTGAGTGGTTTACTGTATACATAAATATTACATAAATTATTTCTGCAATTCTTCACAAACAAAACACATAAATCAATTGAATATGTGATGTCGAACGTGAACTGTAAACACTGTGTGTGATGTAGAGAGAGCGCGGGTGTAAAACGCTATGTAATTTGATTTTCTCTTTTATGTAAAATTTTACAATTTACTTATAATATATAGGTATACTGTATACATAAATATTACATACATTATTTCTGCAATTGTTCACAAACAAAACACATAACTCAATTGAACATGTGATGTCGAACGTGAACTGAAGCCACAACAACCGTTCGAGTGGAATCGCGTTAGAGCAAACGAGTTCGCGTTTTACAAATATCGTTCCTCAATTCATAAATCGCGTTCGAGCAAATTCGCGTTGTCAAAACACGCGTTATAGCAGAACTCACTGTACTCTAATGCTTGCTTTCTTGTCAGGATATTTTACAAGAGCTGGAAAAAGCTGAGACAGCAGAAGAAATCCTCGTTGCTGCTGTTCGTTATGTCAACGCACGCCAAGAACAAGAAACGGCAAAAGGCAACACTCTGATGATAGATCATCCCTCATCCTCAATTGTAACAGAATTACAAAGTCTTTTGGTAAAGAAAACTGCTTCCAATCCTGGCCTCTTGAAGTCTCTGCTAAGTGTTCACCTGCGGGAACTGATGGCAGTTCTCCAGCAAGCCACACCAAGTCCATCAGATCTGGATGCCTCATTACACCATCTGTTGAACCAGCTGTCAGCATTAACTATAAAATCGTCAGCACCATTAGATGATTCTAAGAAGACTGCATTTACACAGCAGTCAGTTGTTCAAGGAGTCTCACAAAAAGGAGATTTTAATGAAAATAGCAAGCTTGAACATCTCACTGAAAAACTACAAGAAAAATTAAGAAAAATAAAGAAAAAATATGGGCTAAATCCTGAACATATAGAAGGCATCCTTAGTGAAATCAAAGGTACAGCCTCACCTCAAACCAAAGATCACAACAGGCAAGATGAACTATAATAAAGCAATAATATTTTTTGAAAACCTTGAAAGTGACTATATAGAAATATATATATACTCATTATTTACTTATTCTTTTCTTCCTAGTTATATATGTTCGGTACAGGTGCATAATATTGTAAGGAAAGTTGTCAAGTTTATTGTTGATCAATAGAAAGTTTGATGGTGACTGTGTACTGTCATTTAGATAATATATTGCACAGAAACTGACCAGAGGATGCTCAGGGGAGCTGCTTGTCACTGTGATATTTGACATTTGTGGAGCAGTCAGACAGTGTGGTGTGCACATTTCATTTTTCATTTAGTGCTATTATTTAAAATGAAGCACTACTCATATTCGACTTCATTTTCTGTTGACCAGAACTAAATCATTTGTACAGTTGGTGTACTGATGACCTTTTTAAGTCCTGAATAATGGAACCATTCCGGCTAATTACTGTAAGACTACACTGTAGATGACACATGACAGATTACAATAGACTCAAAATTATATTACAGGATAATGTTTAAGTAATAACTTTAAAGTATTGTCAGTGACAAATTTCTTTTTGTTGAACTCACGAGCAATACATGGTAGATATTACCGAACACTTCTTCCATGACAAAATATGGCCAGAAAATGTACTGCCATGTAAACTTGGAGAATTTTTTAACATTGCATACCAGATTATGCAACATTTGTTCCCTTCCAGGCTATCCATTCCCTGGAAAGTAAAACTTTTTAATTCCACTCTTCCTTTTCATCCACAATAATTTATTAATTTTGTAATATACTTGTATACATGTCATGTAACTTTAATATGTGCAGTTGCAAACAAATCCATCCTAGCAAATTTGAAATTTAGGTCTGTACCTAAAACAGTTTAAAGGTTTTATGTCCTGGCTGAGCTCTTGTTCTCACCCCATCTGACTGTGAATTTTATTATTTTATATAAATGCCCATTATTTTATGCTCTTGTTTTTTCACCACAATCTTGGCCCAGCCATCATCATTCCTTGCATTTACACACATTTCATCCTCTTAATGTTCAGTTGTACTTCAGCATCAGGGTATATTCACTATGTTGAAGTTGTTAATTCCCTTCATAATATTAATGAAGGACAGGGCTTGTATATCTGGATATTATTATTTTTTATCCTTTTGCTGTGGAATCTACTTTAATACCAGATAAATCAATACTGTAATTTACTCTTTAGTTACTTGAATTTGCTCTTAACCTGTGTAAGGTACTCCAAATACTACGTATTTAAGTGTTTTGAGTACTTTTGCAAGGCAATATGGCATTGTGTGACAGAATGAAAGGGGGTCAAGATAATAAAGAATGTTTAGACAGTGTATTTGCAATTTTGATAATTTTTGGAATGCTCAAAATATACTTACATTAACATTCTTAATCACCCACCTTCATACACTTTGCTCATCATCATTGTTGTCATTTGCTCATGCATGCACAGTCCCACATTCTCACTTGCCCACTCATACTAACATTGGTGTGTGATTTTATTCATTCATTTTCACTCAAGGTTTGTAAGTTCTCCTGCGTGCATGTGTGCATAAACATAACGCACCTTCCTTCAGATACTCACATACGTGCACACCACTCGCTCATCATTTCTTTCTCACACTCGCCTATTATTACACCCACTTGCACCTAGTTGAATTAAAATGCAAGGGAAAATATTTCAATATGGCAGATATTCTTATTGCTTTTATGTTTTGTTTTATTGATTGAAATTAATATTATTAAATGTATTTAATGAAGTTTAGTCTAATGTTATTGCATGACTGGCTTCCTTTTTCTCACTTTTGCAAGCGTAGATGCACATTATGTACTTGAGAGAGAGAGACATTATTACAGTGGTCCCTCGGTTAACGAAATTCTTAAGAAAACATGTCAACATGTTTTGGCTTGCTCACCGGCTAGAAGATTAGTCCGCCAATACAGTAATCGGTTCTAGGGCTTATATTCGTTTCCATTGGAGTAAATATCAAGAAGGTTGTGTTATTCAATATTTTTCCAAGTTTTATATTAAAATTATTAGTCGTTTTAACAATTGTAGTACAGGGAACTAGTTTTTGGTGCGCCCATCAGTCACTTCACTCACCCACCAAGGCGCCAGTTTGTCTCTCTTCAGTGGAGGAAACACCTTGCTTGAGGGTCTCTTGAACACAGACTATTTTTACGTCTTTACTGTACAATTATTGGTCATTCTGAAATTTACTTAACATACCGTATTGACAATATATAGTGCAGTGTTGATTTAAAGAAAATAATCTTGAATTACACCTAGTGAACTTAAAATTTTATTGGCGAAATGATGGCATCAAGCGTGGGGTGATTTCTCTTGCACCCCGACTTCTTTCTCTTCTCCCTTCTCCTCCACCCCTACTTCTAATTCCCATCATCATCATCATCAACCAGGAACCTTCTACATACACACCTCAAAGTAAGTGTACTTTACTACATATTTGTTTTACTTTGTATGTACTTTTTGGTGAGCTGGAACCAATTTCCCAATATCCCATTGAAACAATGGATTCGGTTAACGAACGACCTTCTGGAACGAATTGTGTTCGTTAACCGAGGGACCACTGTACTGTTGAAAAAGATGAATTCTGTTATGGTAATCCCCTTCCACAAGGACCCAACTCTGGTTCACCATTCACTTCACACGTCGGCATTCTTCCCTATAAATTGTTCCTTTGAATATACACACACTCCTAGTTTCCTTGATGTTCATCCCCCCACTTCTACTGTAGCACATCTTTCAATTTCCAAGGTTTTACCAATCGCCTATGACTTATACATTTTCTTTACCAACCTTTCATTTCTTATTCCCTCAGTATGTCAGCATTGACTGAGCAGTCTGAACCAATGCTTCTTTCATTTCAGCATATACTTATTTCTTATTCTCTGTATCCTGTTTGTGTGTTAGAATGTATGGGTAGATGTTGTCGTGTAGTACATGTGTCCTCACCTGATTATGTGAAAATTGTAATGCAGTATTAGATTTATCTAAAAAAAATTTCTTACATCTTATCGAAAGTAATTTAATTACATTCCAAATACATGCAAGGTTAATTTTTAATGCATATAAGAGCAATCAGCCAGAACATATAAATAAGTTTTCTGATTGGTAGTTTTGGGTGTGGGTGCTGCACAGAATGGATCAATCCCTTGATCTAGTCTGTGTGTGTGTGTGTGTGTGTGCGCAGGGTGTACACTGGTATGTTTCTATCATGCGGTAGGGTTCCTGTGACAAAGTTTTTAATAAAAATTTAAAATAATGTCTTGTATTGTAGACTATTTACCCCCCCCCCCATATACAGACTTGTAGTGTGTTACAGTAATACAATGTATTATGCGAGAATTAAATTTACTGTTAACAAAAGTGGCGCATCAAATAACAGTACTGTACATAAGGTTTATATACTTTGTGGAGGTAAGGCAGTGGTTTTTATTATTTCAATACAAAGTTAAAAGTCTCGCTTGAAACATTAATTAGTCTTTCTCTTTATGAGAGTTTTCATGGTCCTCTTCACTATCAGAATTACTGGAATCAGATTCCACCAGACACACTCTATGCCTATTTGGATTTTCCATCAAAAGATTATCAGTTTCAGTGTCACTCTCACTATCTTCATTCACTTTAAGTTCATGAAGCCTATCACTGAAAATTTCTTCTTTCTTTTCTTCACAATGTTCGGCAAATGCAGAAGGCCATTTGTTATTTTGCATAATGTATCTAATGTGGTCCTTCATCAGAATTCGGACAATCTCTGCACGTACTTTATTCCCTTCAGGTATTGGTTCTGTCACCACATAGTCTCCCCGCTTGATCCACACATGCTTCCGGAATTTATGGGGCATAGAAGCCAAGAATTCTTCTCCTTTAGTTGTTGTAACCTGTCAAAAAATGAATAATAATAAATACTAATGCTGACTATAAGTTGAACCACTTTTTGCACGTGGTTTGGATGAGACCAAGTGGGTCAAGAGGCCCATAAGCCTAAATGTGGAGGGGAGGAGAGCCAGGGGTAGGCCAAAAATTAAACGGGGAGAGGCTGTAAGAAATAACAAAAGAGTTAGGAACTCAATGAGAGACTGCAAGAAACCATGCAGCGTGAAGAGCTGCCATCAAGTAACTGTAACTAACCCACGCAAGTGTAGAAAATGACCATAAAACAATGATGATGTACTGTATATGAAATATATGTTTATATGCGTGCACACATTAAGTTCTCTATTTACTTGGGATGCATTTCTGAAAAACACTACATTAGGAAAAACAAATCAAAATCTATTTCACCATTGACTTGATGACAAAAGTTTATGATAAGCTCCTGAAAGCACATCTTTTGGTAAAGATTTTAAAAAACAAATTATAAGCCCCAAAAATGGACGATAAGTTGAAGTACATAAATTATGCTAATTACTACTTGCCAGAGTTTGCAGAAAAAATTTGATTTAGATTTTTCCTGTATACTGTATACAGCATACTCGATTATGGTGCGAGTTTTTATGATACAATATTATGCAAAAAAATAAGGGTAGAATTACATCAGTGTAGTATTTTTGAGGGATTAAAATCCATGCATTTATGGTGAATGATAACTACCCAGTATATGCTCATGGCAAGTTAACCTTACCAGTAAGCATCTTTAACCTAGGCTTACCTACCATACCCCTAGATCCTCTATATTACTACGTCAAGAGCAGAACCTCATTCACTCACTATACAGTACTATATATGCAGCTTTAAATCTACAAAACCTGATACAAATTAAGATTTACAGAACAATTTTACTTTTATTTGCATCTGTTTACATTGCTAGTGGCATTATTGCCAAATTAAACTCATCACTGTACCGATACCCCTCTTGCCCTCTCCTTACCAGGCCAAGCTGTGAGCTATGTTATGGTTATTTTTCAACTTGTAATTTCGGGCAGGTATGTAGCTACCCGGTATACAGTACAGTAAGTAATTTTCTTCAAATTTTTTTGTTTTTGTTTTTACTCGGTTACATGCACATACAATCTTACATACAGAATGTGAAAAATAATTATCAAAGGTCAAAAACATAAAGGGAATAAATATTTCATGTGCGAGAGTTGGTGGGTCAGCGGAGTGTCCTGTGTGTAGTGAAATGATTTGACAAATATTTTGTCATCCAGCAGCCAAATAGCAATGCTATAATATTTTTTTAAATTTGAGATTATTTTTATTTATTCCTCCCATTTAATGATACATTACAGATTTTATCTACAGGGTGTATACCATTTTTGTGAAACTTCATTTAGAAAACAAATAATTAATGAATTGCCAAAGAATAACTAAAATTTGCTTCCCCAAAGGATACTGCCACGGGTTCTGTTCCTGAGGGCGTTAAGTCAGAACACATGTTATGTGCATACCGTTCTTACAGAAATTTCTTTAAAATCCCACTACTATATATCATAGCCTAAATCCTTATATACCTGGAAAATTTTTGGACATCTAAAATCACTTTATTTAAGAGAAAAGAAGAAATAGAATGACAGTAAAAAATACGTCATCAGGAAAATAAAATACTGTAAATTTCAAGTTTAACTCCGTTCATATCAGGGGGCGTTCGAAAGTCAGGGTCCCCCCTGTACACCATATTGCTTGGCAAGGCAGGTGTAACATTTCCATAATGAACAGACTATAGTAATGAAAGATTAATGGTACTGTCTACTACTATGGGTAACTGGTCTGATCCTGGGGCACTTCCAATCTACCCAACTATAAAGTTGGGCAAAAGAAGGCAGTTGAGGGCAGTGTCAATCAGGCTGCTCCCTTGTGTACAAAAAGTTTAGTATACAGTGTGAGGTTTTCACTGTCCCTATCAAAGTATAAAGCTTTGAAGAAAAATGGGTTAATGGTTTGCTAAAGGTTACCATGTACAGTCTCGTTCACGATTCTTCAAACACTGCTGGAGACAGCTGGTAACTCAAGGCCGTTTGTTTACTATAGTACGTAGTATAATATAATACGAAACAACAAAGCCCAGCCAGTAAATTAAGCAACGGGGAACTAAGTAACCAATCAACGATCACTTTTACATTTATTCTTAATTTTTACGACGTACTATAGTAAACAAATGGCCTTGAGCAGTTGCCTCCAGCAGTGTTCGTAGAATCTTGAACAAGACTGTACCAAGGAAAGATTTCTTGAGAACAGGTTATTGGTTTATGGGTGAAAAATTCATCAAATTAAGAAGATTAATGACATCAAGAGCTTGTGGAAACTCTGAATTATGATAAAATATGTTATAAACAATATGGTATATGGGAAATAAGAATTACTGCTGTATTCTAATTGTATTCTCAAGCATGAGTATTAATCGTAGATAACCAATCTTTTATCGTAGATAACCAATCTTTTAAGTTACAAGATAATCTAATCACTTTTAACAGGGTTTTGAAAACCTTCATTGTTATTTGACTTTATAATATTTTTACTGCATAAGTGCATAACAAAATTAAATCTAGTCTATCAACAATTAAAAATTAAGAGAAATAGAACTCTCTGCATCTTAAGTTAATAATGAATCTGCATCAATAGCCATCATAAATAATGCATCAAATTTCAAATTTTTAGGACTAAAAAGTTACAAGTTGCTAAAATCTACATAATTATGTGATAATTTGCCAGATTTACGTACCTGATGCAGGTTATTGCCTCGGGGTCTAACAACTCTCACTATAGACTGGTGTTCTTCTGGGAGGCTGAAATCCTCATAGAGTTCACGTTCTACATGCTTCTTTTTTGTAGTAACCGACATTATTTAGAAGTGCTGTGAACAAACAAAATACTATAATTAGCATGTTAATAGCTGCCAATGAGTCATTATATATGAAGGGATGATGCTATTGTGTATTAACATGAGCATCATGGATTATAATATGTCAAGGCCTAAAATCTCACTTTATGACGAAGTCTGAACTAAGTGAGTGTAGTTTGCCACTAAGTCTATGAGATTAGAATGAAAGGGTTAAATACAATGGTGCTATACAGTACGTATTGTAAATTCAAAATAGTGGAGAAAAGCTAAGATGGCCCAGCATACATATAGCACATAGCCTCATGATGTAATGCTTGCTTTGGCAAGAGAAATCCAAAATGAAATTATGCATAACTTTAGAAGGAATGAATGACTGGGTACTGATATAATTGCTTAGTGGCCCATCCTTGCAAAATTCTGACAGAGTTTGGTAACGGTTTTGTTTTACATTACACGTACTGGCATCAAAGCATGCACCATATAAGGACGTGAAGCCACAGCCTACTTCTAATTTATGTTTGCTATTCTGTAAGCTCTCCACCAGAAGTGGCATTACAAAACAAACAAATGTGCATCTTGAGAGAAAATAAAAAAGAATCTGATACAAAATCATTATATAATACCTGTACTGTATACTGTACTGTATGTGAAGAATTTTCATTATTTACCTAGCTTACGTACTGTAGTTCATCTATTCTTATACCCCAAGTGTATGGAGTCCCCTCTGAGTTGAATAAAATCATCTGGAGTTAACCAAATAAAACATTAAAAATGCATTCCCACATTGAAGGGGTTAACCTGCGAATTTCCTTGCTTTCAAATTTTTTTAGCAATTATGGCTTTAATTTAAAACAGTAGGAATAACAGATATTATGTGTTACTTGCAGTCAAGGAAATCAACTAGAGAATACTCACGGAAGATTCTGCTAAGAAATTTTGTGTCTTCATTAAGAAAAACCTCTAAACTTAACTACTTTATCACCATTTCAATTTGTGAAACTCCATAAAACTGAATCACCCAAAGTTTAGAACATTTACCTCACCATCTTTCCAGATATATAATTGTCTCTCAGTAAGTAGTCTACATACAGTACAGTACAGTACTCCCATTCAGTGACACAAATCTACGGGGCTTGGAAAAAAAAATAAGACGCCCCCCCTTCAGTTAAAGTGCAAAATAGGTTAGGTTATGATAAAATAAATCTAATATTTTACAGGTCAGAGAAGTGTTCTTAAACTGTAAATAATAAAGAATAAAAATAATGATTTAATTTTTTTTTTATTATTTGTCCTAGGGAGCTTTTGCCCTACACTCCAAATCCACCACTGAATTATGCTTCATTCTAACAGGAACAGGCCATCGATTCATTGAATTTATCCAAACATTTACCTTCTACCTGTAGTTCAATGATGTAGTTCAATGATGTATTGCTTTCATTTGCCGTATGGCAGAGCTAACATCTTGATTATAAGTTTTATTCATGTAAATATTCCAAAGTCAAATCATGATTTCAAGGTATTGAACGCTCACCCCATGTGACTTGGTTTATCAACCCTGACATTCAGGTTCAAGGTTCATAAATGCATTGTTGCTTGACGATGAAAATTGTACTGAGGAATGGGCCTTTTCCATTCACCCAGTACAGTAATGTTATTGTACGAAAATTAAACTTAAAACTAGCACCCAAGCCTCTTTTTTCCGATGAAAATTTCTTGGCTCTAAGGCGTAAAGCACCCATACCTTTTAAACTATACGAAGAATACTGAATAGGATGAAAATCTAATATCCAAGATATTGTTTTGGTTTCTTGAGATGTTTACTTCATGTGCAGGGTGAGGGAACTATCAGGACGCAACACTCCTGTCCTATCAGTTGTGCTCCTGGCGGCCTGTGGCCGAACTAATACAAATATATATATATATATATATATATATATATATATATATATATATATATATATATATATATATATATATATATATATATATATATATATATATATATATATATAGGATCATATGAAGATCCTCCCCAAACCTACTTGGGGGGGAGGATCTTCATATGATCAAGCCCAGTCGCGCTCATCTGAAGATCCACCTAACCTAACCTGTAACTGAACCAAACCAAACCAACCAAACCAAACAACCAAACCTAACCTAACCTAACCTAACCAAACCTAACCTAACCAAACCAAACCTAACCTAACCTAACCAAACCAAACCTAATCTAACCTAACCTAACCTAACCTCCCCCCCAAACCTACTTGGGGGGGGGAGGATCTTCATATGATCTAGCCTGGGGGGGAGGATCTTCAGTTGGATACTTTGGGGGGAAGATCTTCATATGATCCCATCCTGAGTGTGAACCAATATCACGAAACCCCACAATAATTGTCAGTATCCTCATTTATTTTCTGTATTTTTTTGGTTATTTGGTGTTTTGTCTGTAGAATATACATAATATATACAAAGTAAATATAACATGAATGGGATGTAGACCAAATGACAATAATAACCATTTCGAGAGAAGACACAATGGGAGTAGTCATGAACTGAGACGTTTTCATGTTACCTTTTGAGAGGAGAGGGGAGTTATGATCGAATTCGTGTATAAATGGAAGATGGGCCAGGGATTTAAAAAACAGGTGATATTAATAAGTTACTTAAGAAAATAAATCAGGAGTGACTTTTGGGGGGAAGAAAATAGAAAATGTTGGTTCGGAAATAGAGTTGTGGACAAGTGGAGTAAGTTACCAAACACTGCGATTAACTCGAACTCGTCGGGACGCTTCAAATACTGTATCGATTTGATATATATATATATATATATATATATATATATATATATATATATATATATATATATATATATATATATATATATATATATATATATATATATGCGTATTAATGATTGGGTGCAACCAGAAGCTGCCTCAAAATTGCAATTTCCTTTATTCCTACGTTTTTTCTTTAGTTTAGGAACCCCTTTGAAATTAAAGGAATGTCATATCTCCATACGTACATACACACTATACACATATGTGTATATTTGATTATTAGTGAAAGACTACAGATATATGAAAAGTTTCTAAACTAAAATAAATTTCGAAAGACTTCATAATATGTGGTACAGTACACGGTACTTATTGGTTAAAATGACCGAGAAGTAGTATTACCGATTTTATTGAAAAATTTCTCCTAGTTTAAGGTAATTATAAAAACAAGTCACACATAGAAATTAAAAATCAAAATCAAACAGTCATGAAATATAAAGCACCGTGAAGTAAATATTTAAACCTGGCGCGTAAGGCCTGAGGCTGGTAGTTGAGAAGGCTGCCACCAGGATTATATTTACAGGCGCCATATTGATTTTTATAATGTTTGGATAGGTGTGGTTGGGGATGGAGGTTGTTCAGAGAAAATTAGGAAAATGGAATGACTTTTAAAGTCAAAGCACCCTATCCAACCCTTCCATATGGTAAGTTGACAATTGCAAGCCACGAAAACGTGGTTAATTAATGAATAAAAAGTGTAATTGGACATTTATAGGAGAAAATAGTGACAATCGAGCTCTCTTGGAGTATCACAGGAGAAGACTACCTTAGGGTATGAGGATGTGTGTTCACAGTGTGACGCTTTATTAATTTATTTTGTAACTGCAGTTAGTGTTAAGGGGAGTGTGGTGCTTTGTTCACATAGATTGTTGTCCAAGAAGTTTGTGAAAATGGCTATTTGAGTTATTCTGAAGTTGTCGAGAGGTTCATAAGTGAAAATGTCTTTCACTTCAGGGTTAATATTCGTTTTTATCCAAATAGGTATTTCGGATTGGCTGAGTGGGGGGTCCTCCACTTGAGCCTAACAAACTTGAAAATTGATATGAAAATAGGTATTATTTAACTTTTTGCTGCGACACTGTCTTGGGAATTTTATATAGTTGCAATCAGTAGTTTTGACAATTCTAAGACACTTTTCTCCAAAGGCTTAAATGACGTATACGCGAGATATCTAACATTTATGTAGGAAAATTTACCTTTAACTTGGTGCCACTAAACGAATCTCATGGGTTTTAGAGTTGCACTTGGTAATTTTGACAATTCTAAGACACGTTTCTTCAATGGCAATTATGGCGCAAATTATGTTTAGGTGAGATTTAAAATTTGGTAAATTTTTCATGTAGCTCCGTTCACTTGTAGCAAGTTAAAAATATATTTTTCTAGTGTATTTGTGTGTGCTGAGACCGAATATGACCTTCCTTTTTGGCGGAAATTAGCCTTTTTTTTTTAGCGATTTTTGTTCGTCTGACGTTTTCCGAGAAAAAAAGTGCCTAAGCGACTCAGAAATACACGATAAAACTCTAGAAAAACAATAACCAAACCTAACCTAACCTAACTTAACTGACTTTCTCCATATGATGGAATCACCTATTTCTTACCTTATTGGCCTGGTTCTTGTTTGTCGTTGCATTCTGGGATTCTTACACAATGCCACATACGTTTTTTTTGCGATATTTACATTCAGTCTTGCTCTTAGTACACTTTACTGAGGATGGAAGAACACCATGCGATCGAAAAAATGCCAAAGTTTCTTCGTTTTTTTTCCAAAAACTCGCAATCAGCTCCATATACTTTAAGTGACACCCATCGCAGACTTCCATGGTCGGAACTGAACTTGAATTTCAAAATATGAAACCCAAAATAAAACTCGAATTTGATTGGGCCAAAAATACCGCGAATTAAACCCAAAAACATTTTAATTGGTTTCAAAATAAAAAAGGCTTTTGATTGGCCGCGTGACGTGTACAGCAACGCATGCGCAGGATGATTTATGAAGGGGACGCAGGAGACACGCAGTCTTGGAGGAGAGGCAGACGATAATGGCGCGATGTTAATGGAAGAAAATAGAAAATATTTTGGAAGAGCCGTCTCCGTTATTATACATTTCCACCGGTAATGTAATAGATGAAAATTGTCTTATTCGAATATGATAATAGATTAGTGGTAGGAATGAACGGAGCTACAAGAAAAGAATACCTAAAATTTTATTATGTATGTTCGTACGTGGTGGTACACACCCAGAACATCGAATGACTGTGGAGCCCCATGGTAAGATTAGGTTAGATTACATTTGGTTGGTTAGATTGGATACAAAACTGTTTTTCCGATGGTTTTTGAACACACTTTACCTTGATTTTTATAACAAATCTCTAGATTCTGAGATGGGGGGCTTATCTCAGAAACTATTAGTTTGCACCAGAAATGAAGGTCAAATTCGTTCATAACACATAAAAACCACCGATTTCGTTTAGTGGCAACAAGTGAAAATTTAGCAGTTGAAAAAATACAGTACTGTACTGTATGAGTTTGGCAGGAACAAACCACTGAGCAGTACAGGTATACAGTATATACTTTACTGTACTCAAGTTGACTTTACTCAGTGGTTTGTTCCTGCCAGAATCAGACATAAGTCAGTGATTGTTTTATGTCACATAGCTAAAGGCATTGGGGGCCATGGCTTACAGTGATGTAAATTTTTTAAAGAAAATAAAAATTATTCTCTGACAGATGCTTTGGAGTGACCCAGTCCATGGAGAGGGAGCCAGAATGACGTAAGACATTCATGAAGAAGCCACCAGACTGAGAGCGTGAGGAGGGCCCAGCCTCGGGAGTTTTGTAAGTATCAAAGCAGATTCTTATTTGGTCACTTTCATGGGAGATTTAACTGTAGGTATCAAAAACAAGTTGGAGATACGTAGAGATATGCTTAGGTCTCGTGGAAATAAAGTTCTGTAAAGTAATTTGGATGGCAATTTCTCCCATAGGCTTATGTTAGGACAATAGCCCTTCTTCCACAAAAATATATACAGTAAACCCTTGTTTTTCGGGGGGGGGGGTGTTAGGTTTCAAGGAATGGCGTAAATAGGCAAAACTTCGAATAACATCTTATATTACCTTAGTGCACTACTGTATACCTATACCAAACAACCGACCAACCACGGCAACACTCGTCCAACTTTTAATTTATCTAATAATTCAACTTACATTTCACTCCACTAGCAATGAAACTCGGCAGTCTTTTAGAGGCCATTTCACACAAACACTTAAGTTTAGAGAGGACAACACGAGTTGCTGCAGGAAAAGGCTCGCATGCTAGCAACCATAGCCACCATCTGTTTACCGCGAATCGTCGAAATCGCAAATTGCAAACCTGTCTACTGTACAGCTAAGCCTTCAAATTTGCGGGGGCTAGTTCCTCAAAATGGCCGCAAATAAAATTTGCGGACTGGGGAGGGGAGTTACATTTTTACTTGTGTACAAAGAAATGTGTATTCCCTTTGTGTTTAGGGCAATTATTTCTTTTACCTGTATTTTGTGTGTGTGTGTGTGTGTTTTTTTTCTGTGTTTCTCCCCCCCCCCCCTCCTTTACTGTTAACTGGAGGGGTAACCCGTGTTAACTTTCCTACGTGTTTCATTACTCATAAAAACAAAAATATTCACATTTGTTAACAGAGAGTTGCACATAAACTAACTGGGGCCCCTTGTGTGTGTGTGTGATACTTGGGACAATATCATTAAGCTTGTCTTAAAATTCCAATGGGTATCACATGCGAAATTGAAAGAGAAATAAATGGATCCCTTCCATTCCTTGATATGCTTATCATGAGAAATGGCCAAAACTACAAATTTAAGGTATACAGAAAGCCCACACAGGTAGACAGTTTCATACAATTTTTATCGAATCACCTGGAGTCTACCAAAATGTCAGTTTTTTCTGCTATGTTCTTAAGATGTCTGCTTATTTGTGACGCTGAATTTATTGATGATGAATTGAAACACATTAGTTCCATTGCACAAAAACTTGGGTACCCTTCTGTGTTTGTTGATTGTTGTTTTAAAAGGGCTAAAAAATCCTTTCATTCTTCTCAAACCAGGCAAATTCCTGCCCTATTGTAATGAATTTGTCCCGTTAGTTCGGTCCCTCAAACTACTAAATATTAATGTTGTTTTCAAGTATGACTCAACCATTACTAATATGTTAATAAAAAATAGCCCAAGTTTGAATGTAAATGGAAGTGTTTATTGTATTCCATGTAGCAAATATAATGGTATTCATGTAGGACAGACAGGAAAAACATTGCAGCTCAGAATCAGACAACATAAGTACAATATCAGAACAGCATCTGAAAGCAGTGCCCTGTTTGTTCATGTTAGGAATAATAATCATCCCATTGCTTGGGAAAAAAGCTTAGAAGTATTCAAATCATCTTGTGTCACAGGCTTTTGTTAAACCACCAATGTATGTAATAAGTCATTTATGTCCAGTGTATATTTTCAGCCTTCGGGCTGCAGAATTTTTTCAATAAACTGTTAATTATTATTATTATTATTATTAAAGACTTGGTTGAAGCTAGTTTGAGTAAGGAATTAAAATCAATAAACCTTAGTGATGGTCACTTCAAAACTGATAATATGTTACATAAATTTATTTGTCAGTGGCCCAAGATTAAAAATGCTATGAAAACCTTGGATCTAGATGTAGGATAGTTATTTAGTGGGTCCCTTATTTTTGACCTGACCTGACTAGTCACGCCGCCCCCTTCTCTTAAGCTCCTCTACATGTGTGTTGGTGTGGGTATTAGTGGATGACATCATTATGACCTGACCTCATGTTTAATAAGGTCACCCTGTATATTTAAGCCTCTCTCTGTCCATGTAATCCAGTTGCCTCTGAAGATGTCTTTATAAAGACGAAAGCTAAGGTGCTCCGTTGTTTCCCTTTTTCCCGTGGTGCTGAGAAGAAAAGAGACACCCATTTTAGAAAATAATACATAGAAATTCTAAAATGGGTGTCTCTTTTCTTCTCAGCACCATGAGAACTCTCACTTTTACACTTGCCAGCCAGTTTAGGACGCATTGTTTCCACAAGTATGATATTTGGTTGATTTAAAATATTGTAAAATCTAAGGTAAATGTAAATTTTGTATACTTTGGCCCAGGTGTTGTGGGTGGTTGAGGGCGGGATATGAGCACGTGGACTGAGAGAATGCAACGACGAGCCGCCACCCTAGGCAATGTGGTCACCTCCTGTGGCCATCCTAATGTCCCCTACCCTCGTAGGCTCGAGAAGTGAGTACTCAAACCTTCATCAGTACAGCATATTTGGTAGTGCATGTTGTTTCATTTTAATATACGTACATAATGTTACAGGCAGATAGTATGTACAGTACAGTAATGTGTTCTCAGATATCCATCACAGGTGAGTTTCATTAATACTGTACAGTACGTATTATAAACACTAACAGTGTTTAGACATTTGTTTCCTTCTCTTCCTATTATTTTTTCCCATAGGGTTAATATTTATAAATGTTTTTCCAAGTAAATTAGTATTTTTTATGCTTAAGCAACTGTTTATTACAAACCTGTCTTTAAGAAAAGTGCAATATATGGTGAAAATATGAAATGTTTCTCTTTGACACCCGGAATTGTTAGCATATCAAGGATGTGTAATATCACCATGGTAGTTCTGGAGTAATGGATGGGAGAGCAAGTGTGGTAAATGCATGTGGAATGTGATTTAGCTCACCTGCAGTTGTCATTTTTTTTTGTGTGTGTGATTCTAAAGAATAGCTAATAGATGAATGAGTTAGGAAGAGTGTGTAATGGGAGAAAGTTAATTGTGAACATAAACAAAAATAAAGTGATTAATTAAATCAAGCAGCGAAGGAAAGAAGGAAAAATGAGTGTTAGCTTGAATGAAGATAAAATATTTCAGATGTCTAAAACTGGTTATAAGTTAATGGAACAATGAACGATCAATTGGACCACAGAGTAGCCAAGGAAACCTTACCTAAATATCTTGTAGACTGCATGCTGTAGTAGCACTGAGAAAAGTAAGGAGAGTTAGTGGGCATTTATGTCTGACAAATCTACTAACATTCAACTGTTTTTGAATCAGTGGATGACAGACACGATTATGATGTGGGATACCTCGACTTTGGCAAAGCCTTCGACAGAGTTCCCCATGAAAGACTATTACGAAAAGTGGAGACTCACAGAATTTGGAGGAGATGTTTTAAAATGGATAAGGGCTTGGTTACAGGATAGGAAACAGCGATTAAGCATTAGGCACTAAATCCGATTGGGGTAACGTCACTAGTGGAGTACCCCAAGGCTTAGTACTTGGACCATTACTATTTATTATATACAAACAACATAGATATAGGTGTAGACAGCAACATAAGTAAATTTGCTGATGACACTAAAATAGGGCGTGTAATTAAATCTGATGAGGACTCTGCAAAACTACAGGAAGATCCAAATATATTTTTCGCATGGTCCGAAAAATGGCAAATTAAATTTAATGAGGACAAATGTAAAGTACTTAGTCTTGGTGATGTAAACAGAGAAACCAGATATCAGATAAACAACGTTGTTATAGAGAAATCCGACTGTGAGAAAGACTTAGGAGTAATGATATGTAGGAATCTTAAACCAAGACAACAATGTGTATTTCCTCGAAATAAGGCTAATATAAGAACATAAGAAAATAAGGAGTCTGCAATAGGCCGGTTGGCCTGTGCATGGCAGTTCCTGTCTAGAGTTACTACCACTCTCTATCATCCATGAATCTATCTAGCCTTCTTTTAAAACTTTCCAGTATTCCAGCACTTACTACAAAGTTGCTAAGCTTGTTCCACTCGTCTACTACCTTATTTGTGAACCAGTTCCTTCCTATCTCCGTCCTAAACCTAAACTTATCCGACTTAAATCCGTTGCTACGAGTCCTTTCCTGCTCAGATATTATAAGAACTTTATCTATATCTCCTTTATTGATTCCTTTCACCCACTTAAATACTTATCATATCTCCCCGAACTCTTTGTCTTTCTAGGGAATGCAAGTTTAGTTTCTTTAATCTATCTTCATATGGAAGGTTTCTAAATCCTGGAATCATTTTCGTCATTCTTCGCTGCACCGACTCCAGTGAATTGATATCCATTCTATAATAAGGACACCAGAACTGAACAGCATAATCGAGGTGCGGCCTGACTAGCTCAAGATATAGTTGCAACATGACCTCTGCACTCTTATTACTTACACTTCTAGATATAAAAACTAATACTGTACTCTGTTTGCCTTATTTCGAACATTAACGCACTGTTTTCTAGGCCGTAGGTCCCGGCTTACAAATAACCCTAAGTCTCTTTCACAAGTCGACTTCTCTAGGTTGATGTTGTTAAGGCTGTGTACATTGACAGTATTTGTTCTTCCAATATTAAGTATGCTGCCCTTGCTGGTGTTAAATTTCATTTGTCATATTTTTGACCGCTCCTGCAGTTTATTTGAATCCTCCTGTAGTGCATTTGCTTCCTGCCCTGAATTAATTTGCTGCCCTCTTTTGGTGTCATCCGCAAACTTGCTTATGTCACTGCTGATCCCAGTATCTAGATCGTTTATGTAGATTATGAACAAGAGTGGGCCCAGTACTGACCCCTGGGGAACCCCACTTAGATTTAACACCATTTACACTGACCCTCTGTGTTCTATCGGTGAGCCATGATTTTATCCTATTTAAAACTTTCCCCTCGATACCATGAGCCTTAACTTTTCTCAGAAGCCTCTGATGCGGTATTCTGTCAAACGCTTTGCTAAAGTCTAAGTAAATAACATAGTAATTTTCGCCAATATCTACAGTATTACCTCGAAGACTTTCCTAAAAAACGTCAGCAGATTTGTTAGACAAGATTTTCCCTTTGTAAATCCATGTTGAGAGTCGTAGATTAATTTGTTTTTCTCTAAATGTGATAGGATGCTATTTGCTATAATTGATTCAAGAAATTTCCCCACTACTGACGTCAAACTTATCGGCCGGTAATTTGACACTGATGCTGTCTCCCTTTTGAATATGGGTACGGTACTACATTTGCCTGTTTCCACAAGTCTGGCACAACTCCCGTGTCAAACGATTTTGTAAATAAATTTATGAGGAGCCCACTAATCTGTTCCTTACACTCTTTCAAAACTCGAGGGAAAATTTCTTCCGGCCCTGGGAATTTTGTCTTCTTTAATTTATTTATCTTCTTAAGAACATCCTTTTTTCTGATAGTGATATTCTTTAGTTTCTCTTCTTCATTTCCCCAAAATATCAGTTTCACCTCTGGCATTTCCTCGTGAATTTCTTCTGTGAAAACTGATAAGTAGCAGTTTAATGCTTTGCTTATTTTCTCACTATCATCGATCACTTCCCCTCTCTCTGACTTTAAAGGCCCCACTTTTTATCTTAGAGTTAAGGTTTTAATTATGGTGTCATTGTGTGTACAGTATATTCAATAAACTGCCATTATGTATCATTAAACTTTCATTGCCCCTGTAGTGTATGTGAACTCACAATCTTTAGCGCTATCATAAAATTGCGCAGATGGCACCCATATTGTAGTACCGGGTAGTTGTATGCCTGGCCGCCTGGGTTTAGTGGTGTTCTGATCGATTGTTTACTGTCCATCAGCTGTTGAAAATGGCGTGTGGTGTTGTGTTCGTCTAATTATACTGGAATTTACGATTTTAATTATAATCTCTATGTTAAATAAGTTTGCCAAACATGAATTTCAGTAGGAAATATTTGCGGCAGGTCACGGGAGTTGCGCTAGATGATGCACAGCGAGTGTTAGGCAGGCTGTTCCACTTGTTTACCACTATGTAGTACAGCTTCACATTTTATACTCTGAGTATAAGTCGACCCCTGGTTTTGGAGAGATTTTTTTCAAGCTTAAAATGTCGACTTATAGGCAGCAATTTACGGTAGTGAATATATTATAGTCATGATCAATTGTTGTGTAGCCGGTGACCTTACCCGTTCCTACCGGGGACTGACCTGACTGTTCCCAGGCGACCTCACCTTGGTACCTTCTTAACCCCTAATAATCCGCCGATCGAAAGTCTGGGACTCTGACCATATTGTCATTGTTTTTCGTTTCTCAATTTAGGGTGAACCTGATTTCTCTGTGATCACTGTTCCCTAGTTCTTCCCCTACTGTGATATCTCTGATAATATTTTCTTTATTTGTTAATACTAGGTCTAATATATTGTCACCTCAAGTAGGTTCTGTAATTAGTTGTTTTAAATTTTTGCCCTGTACTGCGTCTAGGAAGTCTTCAGATTCATAGTCACCTACAATGTTGTACCAGTCAATATTTCTGAAGTTGAAATCCCCCATAATGCACAGGTTGTTGTATTTTGCTGCCCTACTCATTTCCTGCCATATGGGCTGAGCTGCTTCTTTCCCAAAATTTGGGGGGGCATTTAAATCACTCCCACAATTAGTTTTTCTCTTCCTTCTGCAATTTCTACCCCTACAGACTCGGTTCCTATTTCACCCTTTCTTGTGAAAAAAGGTTGTACCCTTCTATGTAGTAGTCTGATAAAAAGTTCTTGCTCGCCAGATTCATCCAAATTTTGGTGATTGCTATGATGTCTACATTCTCGGTACATACAACCGCTCTTAGCAAGTCTATTTTATTTCTAACGCTCCTACTGTTTGTATAGTATAGGGTACATTTAAACCTACCCTTCTCTAGTCCTGTTTCATCCCTTGTCCTGAGTATCAAATTTTACTCCCCAAGACTTGCTTGTTTTTTTTACTCCCACTTACCCTGACCTCTCTCTACTGGCGAAACCCCCCTTTTGGAGTGATAATTTCATGCTCCAGGGATGCAGACAACGTCTTTGCCCCCGCGCAAGACAAGTGTACTCCGTCACGACTGTACAGGTGGTCGTTGCCATAGAATGGTTGCCATTTATCAATGAACGCCGAACCATTGCTTGCACAATGTTTTTCCAGTCGGCAATTTACAGTATAGCAATTGCCCTGGACAGCCATTCACCACCAATTCCTCTTCTAGGCAAGACACCACATACTATCGGGATCCCTCCCCTATCTCTAACCTTCCCTAGCGCCTCCCTATACCTCTTGAAAAGTTCCTCACTCCTAACCTTTCCTATGTCGTTACCTCCTACACTAAGACACTACTGACTTGGTACCCTCCCCTGACAAAACCCTATCTATCCTCTCAGTTACATGCCCTATCCCAGCCCCAGAAAAATACACCCTAGTCCTACATTTCCTATCTC